TATTTATTTATAAATTTTTAATTTTATATTATTATTTTTATTTATATATATTTTTTTATTTTTATATATATTTCATTTTAATATTTTTTTTTTTATATTTATATTTTATTTTACACCATTATATATTAACTATTATTATAATAATATTTAAAAATATTTATATTCTTTTTTATTATTTTTATTCTTTAAATTATATGTTTTATCTTTTTTTATTTTTAAACTGCATAATGTTTTTATTTTTATATAATATATATATTTAAATATTTTATTTAATATTTTTAGTAGAATTTTTTTATATTTTTTATTTTTAATTCGTATTATATTATATCTTTATTTCTTAATTTTCGTTCTAATTTTTAAGTTCTTATAAATGTTTTTAATATATAATTTTTTTTATTTTTCTAAATATAAAATTGATGCTTAATTATATTTTTTATTAAATTTCATCTTTTTCAAAAATTATAAATTTTTTTTATTCAAAAAATATGAATATGTTTTAATTGACTATTTATATTTATATTTATTTAAATAAATATTTTTTTTTATAAATTATAATATTTTTTGATATGAAAATTATTTTTTTTATAATTATTTTTCTTTTATTAATACTATAAAACTAATATTTATTATATTTTTTATTTACGTAAGATTTTTTTGTTTTATACATTTTTAACTATATTATTTATTTAATTTATTATCTATATTATTTTGTTTGTTTTTTTTATATATATTTTATCAAAATTAAATTTACTTTATTTTTTATTAATAGCATGAGCATGTAATTTATATTTATTTATTTTCTTTTAGTCTTAGAAATCTATTTTTTTTTTCAATAAATAAGGAATTTTTAAATAATATAATTTTATATTAAACTTTTAAATATTTTTCTATATTTTTATTTTTTGTAAAATATGTTTTTATGTTTAATTTTTAATTTAATTAATAAAGTTTATATACTTCTAATAATAACAAAAAAATATATAAATTTACTGATAATAATATAATATTAAAAAAAATGTTAATACACAAAAAAATAAAATAATTTTAAAAAATTTTAAAAGAAAAATAAAAACAATCAATCTTAATTTTTATAAACAGTATAATAAGGATACATAGAATAATTGACAACATTAATAGCCTCAAAAGGCGAATATTTATTTTTAAAAATTAAATGACTCCATATTGCCATAGTAAATTCTGAATATTCATATAATCCATTGTGTTTAGATACTTCTACACAAGCTTTAATTTAAAAATCTTTATTTTCAACACATTAAGCTATATTTTTGATAAAGAAATCATTAAGATCTTCTGAAAGATTAAGACAAAAAATCCCTATTTCTTAATTATCTAAATATACATAAAAAGAATACTTGAAACTATCAGTTTGTATCTAAAAACAGGCTAAAAATGGACTATTTTTCTTTTTTTGGAAATTGTTAAACATACTCGAAAAGTCTTTATTGATTAAATCAAAGTTGATATCTTCATATTAAAAAATTTCAAAATTTTCTTGATATTTTTCACTTATTTCGCGAAATTTCTGCTCTATTTAGTCATTATTATTTTCCATTTCTGCATATAAATGCTCTAAACTCAATAGAATGTAAAAAATACGTTCTATACTTCCGAAATCGACTTCCATTTCTTACTTTTCCTCAAAAACAATAGGAAAAATCATCAATATATATTTACAATATCCTTCATATTATTAAATAATTTCTCTAGATTAAATATTTAAAACTACTGGATATACATTAGCCTCTTCACAAGAGAAAATAAAAGTAAAAAACTGAACAAAACTTTATAAATTTTCCTCTTTTTCTTCACTTAAGTCTTCAAAATAATAAAAATTTATCATATTTTAGCCTAAACATACTTCTAAAAGTTAAAATCCGAATTCATTTAGATTTTAAAAAGGATAAAAAAGTCTTACTTAATTATCTATTTGGGGCTATTTGGTTATATTGTAGTAAAATTAGTGTATATTTTGCATAAAGGATTCTATTTTTTAATTTTGGTTTTCTTCTGATTATTCTTCTTCTTCATTTTCAAATTAATAAAAAAGTTCTAGTAAAGCCTATGATTATTCAAAATCGAAAAAAAACAAGAATTTAATTATATAAATTCCTCATACAATGTTACTAAAGAATCAAAATTATCGAATTTTTAGAAATTTATTTTATTCTGACGAGAAAAACGGGTTGATTTAATATATTCATTTGTTTTTTATATTAACTTTTCCTATAATTTTCTTTATTCTTCTTCATTTTCTTCATTTTAGAATTCAATGTCTTAAATTTCTTATAATTCTTCTTATTTTTATTCAAGATGATTATTTTATTAACTTTTCTTTTATTCTTAATTTATATTATTAATGTTATTATTATCTTCTAGTATTTCCTCTATTTCTTCAAAAAAATCGAATTCTTTTGAATAATTTTATTTTTAGGTAAATTATTATTATTATTATTTTAATTTTTTATTTTAAATTTATTATGTTTCTTCGCCTATTAGGTCGTCTATTTCTTCAAAATCAAAATCATAATCATCTTCTTTTAAAGAGTTTTCGTTATTTTATTTATCTGGAGTATTTTTTTTTTTAGTATATTTACTATTGTTTGATGTTATTTCGGAATAAAATTCATCATTGTTGTAATCGAAATTACTTTTTTATATTTATTTTTTATTATTCTATATAAAATCTATTTCTTCTAAATTTATATTTTTTTATTTTTATTTTTCTTATTTTATTTTTTCTTTTTCTTATAAATCTTTTTTTTATTTTTTCTCTTTATGTTTTATTTCTTATGTTTCTTTTAATTCTTATTCTTCCTTTTCTTTTAATTTTTTTTCTTTTTCTTTTTGTTCTTTTTCTTATAATTTTAATTATAATTACTTATCTTTTTCCTCTTATTCTTACTTTAATCTCTTTTCTCTTTCCTCATGTTCTATCTTTTTTTTCTTTTCTTCTTATTCCAATTTAAGATACTTTTCTTTTTCTTCTTATTCTTATTTTTTTTTTTTTTCATTTTCTTCTTTTTCTTATTTTAGTTTTTTTTCTTTTTCTTTTTCTTTTTCTTCTTATTCTAATTTTAGTTTCTTTTCTTCTTGTTCTTTTTTGAGTTTTTCTTCTTGTTCTTTTTTGAGTTTTTCTTCTTGTTCTTTTTTGAGTTTTTCTTCTTATTCTTTTTTGAGTTTTTCTTCTTATTATTTTTTAAGCTTTTCTTCTTGTTCTTTTTTGAGCTTTTCTGCCTATTCTTTTTTAAGCTTTTCTTCTTATTCTTTTTTGAGTTTTACTTCTTATTCTTTTTTGAGCTTTTCTGCCTGTTCTTTTTTTAGTGTTTATTCTTTTTTTTCTAATAATTGTTTTTATTTATTTGCTTCATCTTCTTCTATTTATTATTTATATTTTCTTTATCTTTCTTCTTCTTGAATTTTTCTTTATTATTATTATTCTTATTTTTATTTTTTTTCAAATTCTTCTTTTTATTTTTTTCCTTTCTCCTCCTGTTCTTATTTTAATTTTTTTTAGTTTCTTCTTGTTCTTATTTTAATTTATTTTCTTTTTCTAATTATTCTTATTTAAATTTCCTTTGCCTTTCTTCTTTTTCTTATTTAAATTGTAATTCTCTTTCTTCTTGTTCTAATTTAAGTTTTTTAATTTTTTCTTATTCTTCCTTTATTTTTTATTATCTTTGTATTGCTTCAAGTTCTTTTTCTTTTTTAAATTTCTCTTATTATACTAATATTTTTTATTATCTTTAATTTACATCCGATTCTATATATTTTTTAAATTAATCATCATCATTATAATATTTTTACTCATTTTTTTCTTTCAAAATATCACTTTGTTATATATTTAGAATACTATCAATTTCAATAAATTATTAATGAATAATATCATAAACATTGATATTTTCCTCTTGGTTGTCAAAAATAATATTATAATAAATTTTTTCGAATTTATTTTGGAAATAAATCTATTCATCTTCTTTATATTGAATGATATTCTAAATACATTCTTTCATTTAAACTATTATTTCTTACAAATCTTCAATAGTAGAATTTAATTATAACATATTTTTATTTTTTTTTATAATATTTATTTAATTGGTTATTTCTTTATTTTTTTCTATTAATTCTCTTGATAAGCTCTAAGCATTATCACTAAAACGGTCATATAAAATTCTAAAAATCTTTCTTTTTTCATTTTTTAAATCAACCTATATTTATAAATTTCTTTAAAATTTTATAAATTCTTATAACTTTTCTCTTATTAAATATTAATTTCTATCAAATAATTTATCTTATTTAAATATTCCTTAAAAATCAAGTAATTCTTCCATATTAATTTAATAAAACTCTTTTTCATCTTTTTCTAGAATTATTCTTAAAATTACAGAAATTTAAAGATTTATTTATTTCGAAATGAAATTGATAATTTTTAATAAATTTTCTTCTTATTTTAATATCATTTTTTATTACTAAGCATATTTCTGAGAAAATAAAATATCTTCTCTTTTTAAAAGCTCATTTTTTATTAATTCTTTATAAAAAAATTCGACTCTTTTACATTAAGATAGAGCAAAAAAAAAGCTTTCAATTTTTCTATCTAAACATTAAAGGAACTTTTATTAATAATTATTTGGCTTTTTATTTATTAGTTATTAAAATAGTCCTTCTAATTTATTAAAAATATTATCTATTAAACTAAGATCTGTAACACTTACTTTAGGTGAAATATTATTTTTGTTAAAAACTAGAAGAACTTCGCTTTCATAATTATATTCAGTTTCTATTTCATTTCCAAAAAGTTTTTCAATAACCTCTTTTTTATATTTTTGCTTAGGTACTTTATAAGTATTAAATTCAGGCTAAATTTTTATTTCTTAATTAGGATTATTCGTAAAACTATGTTAGAATTAATTTTTATCAGTATATTTAATTACTTTTATTGCATTTTTTTAAAAGCTTTGATAATTATTGCATCTATAATTTGATTAATAATTATATGGATCTGCCATATAGTTAATATGATTAGTTGGTGATTTATGTTATAAACTACTGGATCTTATTTTGCTTTCAAAATATAACATTTAATTTATATTGTTTATATATATATATATATATATATTTTTTTTAAATTTTTTTTTTAATTGTTAAAAAAAAATATAGTGTATTTTTTATTTTTTAGATTTAATTTTTTTTTTTAAATTAACACCAAAATTCTTTAAATTATATTTTTTATTTTCAAATTAAAACTAAAAATATTGTTTATATATTCAGATGGCGTCAAAATAGTCTTTAGATAGTTTATAATTTAATTAATATATAATTTATTTAAAATGAAAATGATTATTTAAAATATTTTGAAGTTAAGTATATATAAAAATATAAATATTATTATTTTTAATTATTATTAGAAAAAAGAAAAAAATTTAATTAAATTTTATATATTTTATTAAAAAAAATAAAAATATTTATTTATATATATTATTATAAATTATATTTTTAAAAAAATATTAATATTTTAAATGGAATTTTTAGCAAAAATATTATAAATTATAACAAGTATAATTTTAATTTCATCATTTTATAATGTTTACTATAATTGTTTAATAATATGGTTTTATTCTTAAGATTCCTTCTTTCATTTAGACTCAATAGGATTAACATTTTACATACTATATATTTATTTATTTATATTAACTTGTATTTCCTATTTAAAATCATGTTTTTCAGATCCAGGCTATATAAGGTAATAATATTAAAAAAAATAGATCTATATAAATAATTTTTAAAATTAGTAAAAATATAAAACCACCTTTAGATTTATTAGATGAAAAATCAATAAATTATTGTTAAAAATGCATTCATAAATAATGGAAACCAATGAGAGCTCATCATTGTAAAACTTGCAAAAAGTGCGTTTTTAGAATGGATCATCATTGTGAATGGATTAATAATTGCGTAGGCATCAAAAACTAGAAATATTTTATCCTTTTTTTAGCTTATGCTTTCTTTTTATCTCTTTTTACTTTACTATTATTTATTATTAGTGCTTCTTTATATTTTTATTCTTGTAGTTCCTTTTATAAAGCCTTATTATAAATAAATATGAGAAAAATAGTCGTAAATATTTTTTTATATTTTTTTTTATTTTAAATTTAAAATAAATTATTTTAGTGTATAATTTTTAGCCTTATGGCAGCATTTTTCATGTATTTTACTTTAGATTTTTTATAAGACTAATTTGAATCAATAAAAGAAAATCAAACAACAGTAGAATCTTATAAAGAAAAATATGGAATGCCTGATTCTTTTATGAATCTATTTAAATAAATTTTTGGTAATAATGTTATTTCTTGGTTTTTTCCTATTTAACCATAATTAAATTCAAATTATATGGAATTAATTTATACATAAAATAATATAAAAACCATAATAAAAGAAAATATATAGTTTCCTGAATAATAATTTAATGATTAAACATGTGGAAATTATAAAGAATATTAAAAATATTAAGTTAAATATTGAAATTATTTTAAATAATTTTTTTATAAAATATCTTTAAATTTATGAAAAAAGTATATTCTAATTATTGTTTTTAAATTTTATATTTATTTATAAAATAATATATTTATATTTATTAAAATTTTTAAATATAATAAAAATACACTAATATTTTTTATAAACTAATCAAGTTTATAATTAATCACCATTTTTATTTAAATAATTCGTAATGTAAGGATTATAACATAATACTATATATATTCAAAATACTAAAATAATAACAAGATAAGCAAACAATAAGAAAACAAAACAAAACAAGCTAAATGTTATTAATATAATCTAATCTAAATATTTTTTTATTATAAGATTATTAAATTCAATGAATATTATATATGTTTTCTTTAATTTAAAATATATATTGATAATTTAAACAATATCATTAACTTTTTTTTAATTATTATTCTAAATATTTAGTATTTTAATTAAATAAATTATCAGTTAATTAATCAAAAAATTATAAAATCGTGCTTAATACAAAAATTACTCTTTGAGAATTAAATTTTATATTTAATTGCATTATTATAATTCAATCTAAATATTATTATATTTTGGATTACTTTAAATAGTTTAAAAAGAGTTGGATTACTTAAAATAGTTTAGAAAGAGTTTTATTTAATATAGGAAAAAGGAATTAATATAATGTTCTCTTAAATTAAATTGTTATTTTATTTAGTGCAATATTATATTTATTCTTTTAATATATTTTTACCATTAAGCTTATAAAATATATTTTAATAATCAAGTCAAAATGCGCATTTTTATATAAAAAATAGTTCGTAAATATATATGTATTTTTAATTTTACTAGAAATAGTCATCATCTTAAATTAGAAATTAACTTTAATTCTTGTTTTTTTAAATCATCATTACTAAATATATTAGACTATATTAAACCAAAAATTGAGTATATAGAATTAAAATAAATATGCAAATAAGCAAAACATAAAAAAACAAAATACTAAACAAATTTAAATTATATGTTTATGAGATATATATCTTTTTAGAAATAGATTTTATTTATAGTAAATTTATTTTAATTTAATTAAAAATAATATTTTTAATACTTATTAGACAAAATTAAATTTAAATATATTTAAAATAATTAAATAAAATTATTAAGAGGAAAAAAAAAATGAATTTATTTATTTTTACTAACTAATTATATATATAGGAAAATGTAAATAAAAAAATAATAAAATGAAATTAATAATATAAAAATTATAAAAATAAGTACATACTTTATAAATTTAATAAAAATCTAAAACTTTTAAAAATCAAAAATTTTAAATAATTATTAGATTTTATATAAAATATAATGTTTATTAAATAAAAAATAAATGATTAATTCTAAATATTAAAAAAAAAAAATGTATTATAAAAATTAAAGACAAATATGTATTTATAAATATTAATATAGTTGAATAATAATTAAAAATATATATATTAATTTATAAATATATAAATATATATATATATTTATATATAAATATATATATATATAAATCAAATAAAATTTTTAATAATTTTTTCATATTAATTTTTTAGTTTAAATATATCATTTGTATAACTATATATTTTATAGTATTTTTAAAATATTTTCATAATATAATAATTATATGTTAATCTTATTAATGTTCTATAAAATGAATGAATTGTTTTTTTAGAGTTTATACTTTCAGCTCAAATTATATAGTCCTTTATTTAATTTCATCTTTTATCATATTTGAATAGCCTTTCCGTATTTACTTTATTTATTTTTTAATTATAACTTCTTAGAAAACTTTTTATTAACAAAAATTCTTAATTTAACGAATTACATTATTTAATTATTCAAATTTTCTAAATTAACATGGACTTATTTAAGTGTCAAAAATTTTCTTCTAATTATATTTCATTATTAAATACAGATTAATTTTAAAGTAAATTATTTTCGAATTTCACAACTGAATTTGCTATAATGTTGCTAATATTTTTTATTTTATAATAGACTTTATTTCATATCCAATCTCTTTTTCAAAATAATTAGAAGCTCTAATAATGATTAATTATATAAGATTCATAATACTTACATATAAAATAGAGAATTTGTTATCGAAAATGTTTATAGATAAATCTTTTTTTTTAATTTAAATTAAGAAAATGATTTTGCTTATAATTTTTTAGATAATATTTTCAATAAAAGTTTAGGTTAATATAAATACGCTATTATTTTTAGGATTAATTATTTTAATATTCTAATAATTTTCGTTATTTTTGATAATTTAAGCTTATTGTTTCTAATTATTCAATATTAAAAAAATCTTAAGATAAAAGTTAAATAATTTTTTTAATAATAATAACTTTTTATTTAATTTATTATTTGTTTAAATTAATAATTCATCGAATCAAATAACTAAATATATTTCAACTTTGTAATTTTTAATGTTGAGTTATTAAAAATCGTAATAATTATTTAAACTTTTGTTTTTAAATTCATTTATTGATATTTTTTCTGTTCAGGAGTACTATTTTATATTTTTTATACAATAATTATATTAAATAATATTAATCATTGGTTAGTATGATATTCAATAATAAAAGCTAAGTATTAAAAAAAAAAATTAGATTTTTAATTATTTCCTAATTATTATATTTTAGCAATAATAAATTATATATAAGCTTATATAATTTTTACTTATTTTTCTGCTATATAAATTAATTATATATTCTGAAATATAAAATCTTATCCAATTTATTATTCTATATTAAATAATTTCATACTTTTTATATTTTTTCATAATTAAGAAATACTAATATCTTAAAATTGAATAGATATTGGCATAAAGATATGTTTTTTTTAAAAAAAGAATTTATATTGAGTATTTTATTTGTTTCTATTAAAAAAAAACTAAATCACGTCTCTAAAATCCATATAAAATAAAAATTAAGTTAATAAAAAAAATATATATAAAAAATCTAGTAATATTTTAGATTAAAAATATGATAAAAACTTAAACATTTATTTAAAAAAATTATTTACTTAAATATTAATGTATTTAATTATTTTTTATTTTAAATAATTTATACGATTTCATCATAAAATAAAAGAGATAATATTTATAATAATAAGTATTGTAATAATACTTTGGATAATATTTAAGTTCTATTTTATTAATTAAATAAATTATATGTAAGTTATCTTTGTGTAAAAATTTTATAATTTCTATAATACTGAAATCTTTTAGCCTATATTTAAAGTATAAATTTAGGCTTTATTCATGTAAAATGTTAATGAAAATAGCAAATATTGATACAAATTTATCTAATTAATTTTTATAAAAAATAATATTAATTTATATCAATTAAAATAATATATTACTAATTAAATTAATTAAAAAAAAAAATCATATATTATATATTTATTAATCAATATTCTTTTATTTTATATAGAAGAAAACATTATATATAATTTAATTCATTAGTTATTATTATTATATTAATATATATATTTAAATTTTGTTTATTATTTAATTTACTTTATTAATTCATTTTTTAATAACAAATATTCAAATATTCATATATAATAAATTACAAATTGCCTTAAATATTTTATTATGTTTAATTTTTTTATTTTAAATTTATCATTAATATAAAACTTTTATTATTATTAAATAAATCTATTTTAATATTTTAATACATATTAAAAAAATAATTATTTTTAATTAAATTTATATAATGGCAAATACAAAAACTTTTTAATTTGTTCGTACCCTTAATCTCTGTATAGCGTAATTATTTTTTTTATAGAATTTTATTAATTTTATATTTTTTTAGTGTATTTATTATGATTATAGGATTATATTAAATAATACTATTGAAACCCATTTTTTCCGCAATAAGTTTTAAATTTTTTAATGTATTTGCACCTGCCTTTTTAGTGTAATTTATTTTATTTAAAATATTATTATATGCTATATATATTATATTTTTTTAAATAGTTTATTAGGGTTAATGTTAGTTGGTGCTGAGTTAAAATCTGATTTTATTTTAAAACATTTTATGTTTTTAAGAACTTTTCTTGGAAGAGGATTATTCAATATATAGTATTTAATTAACTAAGCATATTCAAATTAAAAAAAAAATATTTTTTTTAATATAGTTTAGCTTCAATAACTATGTATATTTATGATTATACTAATGTAATAGGTTGTATATTTGGATCAATAATGTTTTTCTTTGGATTTTTTTATATAATGTGCCATTTTATAGCTGTAAAAATTAAAAATATATAATTATTTTAATTCTATTTTTTATTTTTTACAGCCAAAATAATTGGATTTAATTAGCGAAGTAAGAAAAATAAAAATAAAATTATCATAAAAAATTTAAAAAGTATAATGCATGAAAACAAGAAATCCAAATAAAATAAGAATAAGAATAAATAATTAATAAAAAAAAAAAAAATAATATATATATATATATATTTTATTTATATATAATAAAAAAGTATAAGGTTTATATATTTTTTTTTTCTTTAACATTAATATTTATTAAATATGTTTTCTTTTATATTTTTATTCATATTTTTTTTTTTTTTATAAATTTTCTTTTTATAATTTTTTTTTAATATTTAAAATTAAATGTTTTTATCACTTTTTATTTTTTTAAATAAAATTAATTTTCAGAAATTAGTATATACTTTAACAGATTATTTTTTTTTTATTTACTTATTAATATTATTAATACAAAAAAAAAAAAAAAAAAATTGTATTTTTAAATTTATGTACTTTTAGTTCTTAGTTAGTAAAAAGTACTAAGTCTATGTAGCATACCATTTAATAAATTATTTAGAATAAAGGGAATATAGATTATATTTCATTAGTTTAAAGACAATAAATCAGAGCTTTTAGAAGCTGATATACTGAAATAAAATAAATGGGATTAAACAATGAAGGAAATATATTATATTTGTCATTTAGCATATCCTTTTCCTAATAGAAAACCTAAAGATTAAAATATAATACAGAATTTTATTTATTGTATTGTAGTTAAACATAATGTAAAGAAACATTTATTACTTCTTGTATTAGCCACTTTTAAAAAAATATAAATAAATAAATTTTTTAAGTCGAACAAAATAATAATATACTCTTATATTATTTATTTTATATAAATTATAAATATATAAAAAATTGTACTTAGAATGAAAAATTCAAAGATTAAGAAGTAAAATAAAAGAATAGAAAAAAATATAAATAAAATAAAATAAAGATAATATAAATACAATATTGATTACAATTTATATAAGGTTATTTTTCAAATAAAAAAAAAAATTTGAAGATTTTATTGTAAAGTTTTTAGTTAACAGGGAAATAAAAAAAATTTAATAAAATTTAATGAAAATTATGTGGTTATGTAGTTATGTATATATGATTATATAATTAAAAATTAATAATATCTTAAGAAAAATCAATAATAAAATAAGGACTTTTATTATATAAAAAATACATAGAAAGTATAAAATAAAGAATTATACAAATTAAAAATAAAGTATTATTATTTTAAAAAATAAAGATTAAATAAATAACAAAATATAGTAAAATTATAAATAATTAAAAATGTATTGTATATATAATTAAAAATATTTAAAAAAAATATTAAAAAGATTAAATAATATAAATTATATAAGTTATATAAATACTTATATATATATTTATATATATACATTTTTATTTATATACATATTTTTATTTATTATTTTTTATTATCTTTGTATTATTTCTTAATTTTTTAAATTTTATATAAAATATTTTTATTTTATTTTTTTTATATTTAATATATAACATTATAATTCTTATCAATATTTTTTAATGTATTTTTTTTATGTTTATATATATTAATTTAATTATAACCGTATTTTTTTCTTTTAACTTTTTTATTACATTTTATTTTATATTTTGAATACACAATATAAAAAAAATACAAATTAAATTTATCAGAAACATTTTTTGTGTATAATAATTAAACCTTATTCTTCGTATTCCTATTTAGTAATAAACATAGGTGTAAAACTAGACAAAGAACTAAGAATACTTCCACCCATCCAAACTGAATATTTTCTTTCTGGCGGAGCAATTACTCCAATTTTCATCGTTGAGGGAGCTAATGCTACAACTTCTTTATTTAGTCTCTCATCAATACCTTTAAACATAGTAGTTCCTCCAGCCATGACTATGTTTCCATAAAGATCTTTTCTTATATCCATATCACATTTCATAATGGAGCTAAAAGTACTTTCATGAATACCTTATGCTTCTTTTCCTAACTTTAAGGGTTAAAAAAGGACTTCAGGACATTTAAATACTTGACTTCCAAGTTAGATTTCTATTCCATCAGGCATTCTATGAGTTATTTTTTCCTTATTATTATCTTTATCATTAAAAGTTTTCAATTCAGCCTCGAAATCACTAACAACATAACAGCATTTTTCTTTTGTATCACGTGCATTATCGCGTTTCGTTTCTGCATTGTTTGATAGCGGTTTTCCTGCATCTTCCATTAGTTTTATTAAATATTCGTCTAAATCTCTTCCTCCAAGTTAGATTTATTAAACTGCATGAGAAAGGGCAAATCCTTCATATATAGGGACTGTGCTTGTAATCGAATATCCACTATCTACAACTACTCCTGTGGTTCTTCCAGAGGCATATAAAGCAAGGACTTATTATATGGCTAAGTAAAAAGAACTGCATTAGAAAAACTCGAACATCTTTTCTAATAAATTTTCGCGATTCTTCTTTGGATTAAGGGGAGGTTCAGTCATTAATATTGGGGCACCGCCAAATGATGCGTTTATTTTGGTTGAACAATACTACCATATTTTTTCCATGTCAGATAAATTATTTACTAGGCCGTAATCAATTGGGTAGGATAAATTTAATACTTCAGTCTTTGAATTCACTTCATCTCCTATGTAACAATCTTTTTGATCCATTCCTACCATCAGACCTGGTTGTTTTGGGCGACCCATTATTGTGGGAACTGATATACGAGGAGCATCGTCACCAGATATTCCTACTTTACAAAAACCACTACCATTATCAATTACTATTGCTGGATTTTATGTATCATCTGCCATATTATTTTTTTATAAAAGTTAAATATTTTTAAAATTATATTATTTTATTTTTTTTAAAAAAATAAATAATATTAAATAAAAAGTAAATATATAATTATAAAGAAAATTAATTTTTTTTTAATATAATTATATAATTTATTTTCAATTTTTTTAATAACTTATATTATTTTATAAAATTAAATCGAATATTATAAAAATAATATAATAGAGAATATTTAATAATAAATTATTAGTTATTAATAATAAATTATTAGTTTTTTATATTTATTAAATATAATTTATTAATTATTTATTATTTATTATTTATTATTTATTATTTATTATTAATTATTTATTATTTATTATTAATTATTAATTATTTATTATTATTATTATATTTTTTTTTCATATTATTATCTTTTATTTTTATTATTTTTTTTATATATTTTTTTTTTAATATTTATTAGATAATATAAATGGATGTAAAATTAAAATTTTTATTCATTTTTATAATAAATATGTTTTTATTTAGCATTAATGTATCTAATAATTTAAAAAAATATTCTATATTATTTTTTAATATATTTACTTATTTATTTCAATTTTATTAATATTTAATAAAAGTAGTAATAGGGATAATTACATTATAGTAAATTTAATAGAAATTAACTTAATAATATAAATTTATAGATATTTATTATATATAATTTATATATGATAATATTATATGAATTTAACATTATAATGAATTATATTTACTATTTGTAAGTTAATACTTAAAAGTAAAATTATGATTAATCTATTAAAATTTTTCTAAGATATTTTATCATGGATGTAATACTTTAAATAATAATGTTATATTTATAATTTATAAATATTAAAATGGAAACATTCATAAATAATAATTTTAAAATATTCTTTAAAGTATTTAAATTATTATTTAAAAATAATTAAATTTAAATTGAATTATAATATTTTCTTAATTAATTAAATTGAACGTAAACTTTTATTTAATTCAATATATATAAAATATATTATCATCTTTAATAAATCATAAATTTTTATAAAATTCTGTTTGCAAAGAATATAAAATTTTAATAATAATTTTTTAATTTAAAGGTTTATGTAATGTTAAAAATTATTTAATTAATATAGGTAACTCAAATATATTTTAAGACATGATATTTAATATAAAATTGATTTGCATAATAATAGACTATAAATTGTGTAATTGACATAATATTAATATAAGAGGTATTAATAATGTTTTTAATAATGATTTATAATATAAAGTTAATATTATAAAATTAAAAAAAGTTTTATTTAATTATAGTAATTTAAATATTATAAATTATTAGTAGATATTTAAATTAGAAAAATATAAATTAAAAGCAAAATATGCAAAAATATATTAATACAAATAAATAATGATTTATACTTTTAAATATTAAGAAAAAAAAAATTATTATATAAAAATATATAATTAAAAAAATACTATAAAATAATAATTTTATCGAACATTAATAAGAAAATATATTTCGTATAAAAATAATTAAAATAAAAAAATAATTACTTCATATAATTAATTTACATTTAAATTTATTGTCATATTTAATTTTTTAGTATATATTTATGTTTAAAATTTTTATAAAAAAATATTTAATAATATTTTAAAAAGTTTATATAAAAATGTATTATGAATAAATTTAATGATATTAAAAAAACATAAAATTAAAATAAAAAAATAAATATAATTATTATAATTATAATAATATACTAAAATTTTTTTTTATAAAAATATTATATTTTAAATAATAACAAATAAAAATTAAAAATATTTTTAATATATCAAATTTATTAATAAAAAATTATATTATTATTTAAATATATTAATATTTAATTTATATTTATTTGTATATATATATATATATATGTATTATATTTAATTTTTTTTTTTTTAATTATTTTTAAATTTTTATAGATTTTTATATAATATTTTTATATTGTTTTTAATTCTATTTATTTATATAAGAATTATATTTTATTTTTTTAATCAAAAATATTATTAAATTTTAATTTAAAAATACATATTAAATTAATTATATAAATTATTATTTAAATATTAATAAATTTAATTTTTTTATAATAAATTATAAAATTTAAAACTTTTTATTATATAATTATTTATTTATATCATATTTATTATCTTTTATATTATATTTCAATTTTTTTATTAAAATTAATGTATTTTATAATTAAATATTATTTTTTCTTATATTTTTTACGATATTTTAATAAATAAAATTATAAATTCATTTATTAAAAATATAATAGCCCATTGAGTTAAATAAAAAAAAAGATTTTTTATAAAATAAATTAATAATTTTATTATTTTTGATTAAAAAATTATGAAATATTAATAATAATTTATTTATTAATTTGTTATTATCATATTTTTAATTGAATAAATATAATTTACAATACGATTAATTTTATTTAATAAGTTTCTTTATAGTTATATAAATAAATATATTATTGATAATATCTAATATAATTTAAATTATAACCTAAATTATGTAATAGAAAAATAATTTAAATTGATATTTTTTTTTAAATAAATAAAAAATAAAAATTTTACAATTCAAATATTATATAAAAGTAATAAAATATTCAAATTTATTTTTAAAAATTATTACTATCTATAAATTTAAAAATAAAAATCTGGAAATGTATATGAGTGAAAGCCTACATATTTAACTTCAAAATTATTGGAATGAAAAATAAATACCTGAAAATTTTTTTAACAAAAGCGAATTCTAATGGAAACCTTTAGAATAATGTGAAACATAATTTATAATTTCTTTTGATTAAAATCAACGTAATTTTACTTTTAAAGACGATGAATGGGAAGCATACTATAATTTATAAATTCCTAATATAAATATAATTTGTGATTCTATTATTAAAGATAAACAGATAACTGTGATTTTAAGTACAGTTTGTTATGACTTCTAAACAGAGCGTTTTTCTTAAAATAATATAAAAGGATAAACCATTAAAAAAATAAAAAAACAATAATGCTAAGCTTAATTTAAAGGAAATTTATTAGAAATTAGAAAAAATTAAAAAGTAATATAAATAAAATAATATATCGTATTTTTTTTTATTGTAGAAATAAAAATAGTATATTGTAATTTATTTCGTTTAAGATTATGACAATGATACTTAAAATTTGCTTTAAGTATACATAAGCACAGGCTTTTTAGTCAAATCTAGAAAAAAATCCTATTCAGAACAGGTTTTTATTATTTAAAAACTAAAATTTATTTTAAATATAAAATAGTGCAAAGATTTGGGATATTTTTCTCCATATAAACTTGATATTAAGTTAAATAAAGCTAATGGAAAATCTTATCAAAAATTACTTGCAAAAAATACAAATAGTTTCTTAGAATACTTAGTGGAGAAAAACATACGACATAAAGTTAAATATATGATTTAATTTTTTATTTAATTTATAATTTAATATTTTAGATTGTAAATCCTTTATTTCTCGCTATTAAATTTTACGAAGGAATTCAAATTTAGCTAAATAATAATTATTTTAGTTAAGATATGAATGTAAGAAATATAAAATATATTATTTAATTTATTTTAAAAATAAAATATATAGAATTATGATTTAATTCAGTTGTTTTTTGAAATCTTATAAGATAAGCCTTATGAATATATCTAAAAACCTATTAAATTAATTATTAATATGTAAAATATAAGTTCATAAATAGAAGAAAAAGTAAAATAAATAATATTATATTATTTAATTTTTTTATATATTTTATTTTTTAATATGTTAAATAAATAGTACTTTAAAAACTTCAATATTTTTAAATAGTCCAATTGCGAGTTTATTTTAAGTAATAATTCATTTTTTTGTGAAAATTACTTTGTTCTTCAAATAACAGTAAAAATATTATTTAAAAAATTATTTATAAAGAAAATTATAATAAATATAAAAAAGCCTAATTTAATAGGAGATTATAAAAAAGCTTACAATCATAAATATTATAAATATTATGAAGAAAATTTATTATAATATTAAGCTGCAAGAACACATAAGGCTGAATAATATTATTTTAGTAATTTAAATTAGTCTAACTCTAAAATAGAAATTGATATTAACTATTTTAATTAGATGATTCATAATGACAATATGCAATTATAGAGAATAAAAACCATAAAAAGAAATGATAATTTTAAAAAATTCAGGAAAAATTTAAATATTAATATGGAAGAATAAATAAAAAAGACAAACGAAGATTAAGACTAAAAATCATAAACATAACAAATAGTTTATATGCCTGTTTGTGTTTAGTATTAATAATAAAAGTAAAAAAAAAAATTAAGTTTTTATCTTTTTATATAAAAATAGTTAAAATTGTTATTAAAATCAAATGATGTAGTATAATTAAAATTAAATCCCATTCTTTTTTTTTAGTAATAATAAAATAGGCCAATTTAAAATATAATTTAATATTCATAAAATTTTTGAATAGATTTAAATAAAAGTTCAATATTTTTTAAGCCTCCAAAAAGAAACATATATAATTAAATAAATTATAATCATAAATTTATATGATATAGATTGTATTATATATTTAAAAAGTTTTAAGTTTATTAAAATTTATTATAAAATGTAATTTTATTATTAAACATTTCAAATAATTATTATATATAGTTATGTAAATTTTTTTTTATATTTTTTTTAAATAAGTTTACTTTAATTTAAGATTTTAAATTGTTAATCATTATTAAATAAAATAATTTTATTTATTTTTTAAATCTTTATATATTATTTTTAAATTATTATTTTTAAAATAATATTATTTATTAAATTATGAAAAAAAAATATAATTTTATATTTTATTTTAAATTATATTAAAAAAAATAATAATATTATCATTTATTTTTTATAATTATATATTAAAAAAAATATAGCATTCACCAATTATTAAAATCATCAACATATCCAAAATTAGTTTCATGCTATTTATTATCAAATTCCATGTTTCCCCATCTATCTTATAATTATTTATTATCTTAAGTTTATTACTGTTCGAATCCTCCCATTTATTATTAAGCATTATTTATATTTGGAGATTAATTAAGACCTTACTATTATTATATTTATTGTTAATTTCATAATATCCATTTATTAAATTTGATTAGGAAATTAATTTTATAGCCCGTTGCCTTATTATTATCCCATCATATTATTATTTTATTGTTAAGGTATTTATTATTAAGGCATAATATTCGGTTATTAAGCCATTGAATTTAGTTATTATATCATCGGGTTATTTTGTTAAGCCATAAGATTAGGTTATTAATTCATAAGGTTAGGTTGTTAGGGCATAATGTTTGGTTATTAAGGAATCATATTTTATTGTTTTTACTTATTGTTTAAACTATTATTAATTGCTCCTTATTCACTTAAACTGGGTGAAAAACCTTTTTATTATGGAACTATTTTAGCTGGTGGTTGAGGTGAGGAATATAAATTTTATTGTTTTTAAGGAGAAGGTTATATAAATCCGGATTAGTTTTAAGAAAGTACTTATCCAGCTGTTTAGGCAATTGTTTAAATTGATTAATTTGCAACTTAAATAATTAATTAATGTAATTCATTGTTTGTATTTTAGTTTTAGGACATTTATTTTCCGATTTCATTTAATTAACAAATCAATATTTATGATTTTTCTTGAAGTTTATTTAATTCTTCCTTTAATTGCTCATTTTCTTAGGCAAATTTTTTATTAGTTATATCATAAGCATCTACTATTGAAGTTAAGATATCGATTTGTTTAGATTATTATTCTATAGATTAAGAATTTATATTTCTTTAATTAACGATGTTTTAAGAAAATTATTATTGTTTTTATTATAACAATATAATTTCTTATTAGCCTAATTATGTTTAATTTTATTAAATTACATTTGGCTAAATTTATGCCTGAGGATTTTATTAAACTGGTTATTGGGAAACCATTTGTAAACTAGGAATTTATTAAATATTTTAATTTGTAGGTTATTAAATATTTTAAATTTATTATAAGCTTTAAACAGGAGTTTATTAAATATTCTAAATAGAAGCATTTTATGTTTATAATGCAGAAGCTTATTATAATTTAAAAATATATATAATAAAAAATTTTTTATATATGGATATATTATTATAATATATATATATATATATATATATATATATATATATATATGTATATATATAAATAAATTAATTTATTTTTATTTTTTTTTAAATATAAAAATTTAAATTTATTTTATATTAATAATATTTTTATATATATTAAATATTTATATTAATTATTTATTTATTATTATATTAAATTTTTTATTATTTTAAATAATATTATTTTTAAATTATTTTAATATTTATATTTTGATATATATTACTACCTTTATTTATTTATTAACCTCCGTTTTAAATAAACTATAAAAGCTCTTGAGGTAATGCATTAGGAATTACTATATTTTACTTGGCTAAGGCAACAAGATGTACCATGACCATAAATTCGAATTTGTTTAGCTATCCTTTAGTTTATTAATCTGAAAGGCTCCATATTTATTTCAATATATTATTTGGTAATTATGTTTTTGTAAATATGTTTCTTGCTTGCAATCCTGTTATGAATCCTGTTTTTTATACATCTGTCTTTTCATAATATTATTCATATCTTTAGTATTATTCAGAAGTTATTGTATATGGAGTATTTTATTAGCTTTAATTATTATCTAAATTATTTGTTTGAAAGTTATTTCTTTAAGGAGATATATTCATATTATTAGTTTGAGGTACCATATTATTAAATTAAGAATTTTATTATTAAGCCCCTTAGTTCGTTTGCATATTTAATGGTTTTGTTTACATATTTGGCATTTAAATATTTTGTACTTATGATACATTTTAGGATGGAGTTTTCAATGCTGCACCTTTACCCAATATACGAGGGTTTTGGGGTGCTTTTATATTTTGTAAAATCGATTATGCCGAAACTTCAATATTATTTTGACCATATGCAACTAATCTTAAAGCTACGTAAAATGCTTCTCTGTCTATTGTTTCAGTTTTTTCAGGGGCTATTATTGACCATATATTTCTTATTATTTAGGGGTCTAGCTATGATCTATTTTTTAAATTTGTATATTTTTATTTATTAATTTAAATTATTTGTTAACCTATTTAAAAGCTCTAATGCTATTTCTGATTTTATAGCATTTGCTTCAGTTGGATCTACCTACGAATATAAAGCATTATATATTCCTCTTTCGGAGTTTTCAAGTTTAATTCTAAGCTTTTATGGGCGTTAGGGTTATTATTATTATTGCATAAAAGAATTTTATTAGGTTTAAAAGTCTTGTTAAACAAATTAATTTTGATTCATGAATTGTTAATTTTAAGGTATTTATGGGTTGTTAAAGCCATCAAATTAAGTAAAGTTTTGATTTTGGAAATTAAAATTTGCCGCGTTTGGGGTTTGTTAAGGATTTTAATTTCCGAAGTTAGCAAAATTAGCAAAATCCATGTATTTTTTTATTGATTAATTTAGATTTATTCAAAAAAATATATATTTTTTGCTTTTATATTATTTTTTTCTTAATTTATATTTAATATATTATTTATATAAAAAAAATGATAAGTTAAAGAATAAATTATTAAAATATAAATATATTAGTTAGAAGCGAAAATAAATTAATATGTTTTTATGAATACAAATAAATTTTTTAAAATAATTATAAATTATTAATTTATATAAAAAAAATATAATGTTATTACTTTTAAACTAAAGATTTATATTATATAAATAAAAAAATATTTATTATAAATAAAAAATATAATTATTTATTCAAATAAATAAATTAATAAATATATAAATATTTTAATAAGTAAAAAATAAAATATTAAATAAAAAGATATTTTAAAATTAAAAAACTAAATAATTTTTTAAAAATTGTTATTTCAAATCATTTTTGAAAAAAATTGAATAAAAATAATATTTATAATATGTATAAAAATTAAAGTTAATATTAATATAAATAAATAAAAACTAATTCATATATATATAAAATATATAAATATATAAATATATATATCGATATATATATATTTATTAAATTATTCTATATTTTTTTTTTTTATTAATTATAATTACATATATATTTTTTATATTTTATTTTTTACAATTATTAATTAAAAAATAAAATATATATAAAATTATATAATAATAATAATAATTAATTAATATTTATATATTATTAAATTTTTTTAAATTTTTCTTATTATTTAATATATGTTTTATTTTATTTTATTTAAAAATATATTATATTATCTATAAAATTTAAATATTTTTTTAAAATATATTTATAAATTTGAAATTTTTTATTTAAAAAAAATTATATTACTATTTTTTAATATTTTTATTTTTAATTAATTTATTTATTTATTTATTTTTCAAGATATATAAAAAAATTTGCATCAATAATAAAATATTAATAAAAAAAACTTATATATTTTTCTTTATCATTTTTGAAAATTTTAAACTATTCTACAAATTTCATTTATTAAAAAATAATTATATTTTATTTTAATATTTAATTCTAAATATTTTACAATTTAACTTGTGCAGTATTTTTAATTTATTAAATTATTAAAAATTTCTATAAAAAAAATGAAATGTTATATATATTTAGAAATTCTTATTATTAAATTGAATATTCATAAACCATACAATTTATTTTTATCATTTTAAATAGTGAATAATTTATAAATAAATGAAATGTTAATTAATATTTATGAATTTTATAATTTTTGGATTAAAGTATTATAGTTTATTTTATATTTATTAATTTTTTTTTTAAATTAATCTAATTATATAAAAATTGCTATGTATTTAATTATTCATATGAAATAATTTTTTTTATGAATTTATCTTATTAATGTTTTTTCCTTGCTCTGATGTGTCTCGGGATAATATTACTTCAAACATATGCGTAATATTAATTTTTCCAGGTCAAAATTCAAATTGAAGTTCATCTTTACATATATTTTATAAAATTTATATATATTCATAAATTATTATCATTTTATGACAATTAATTTTATTATTTCTAAATTTAAATATTATTAAATTCAATATTAATGTAATATAAGATATTAGAATAATTATTAATATTGTCAGAATTAATTATGTTTATATTATTAGTAAAAATAATTTAGTTTGTTAATTCTGTAATTATAATTTATTTGTTTTTAAGTTTTCGTTAATATATAAATATATCTTTTTAAAAAAAATGTATTATAATATTTGTTATTAAAGAATTATCATAAAATTGTTAGGTTATTTAAATTATGTAATCTTAAAAACAAAAGAATATATAAATGTGGATGAATTTATTTAAATTTTAGCATTTTCTTATTTAGTTTCTATTTTTGTTTATTTTAATATATATATATATATATATATTTTGTTTCCATTAATAAAAATAAAAAAATCAAATTAAAATCAATTCTAATAGATATTTACTTTATTTTTTTTATAAATATAATGATATAATTTAAAATATTAAATTATTAAGTATTTAAATAATTTTGATTTATTTTTATTCTGCTAATTCCTGTTTTTGAATAAATTTTTGGCTTAGAATTTTAAATATATTCGAAAAATAAGATATAAATAAATATTTAAGTTATTTCAACTATTGTTGATTATTTATTTTCTTAAACTTTCATTTTTTAATCTTATATTTAATTATTAAAGGAGTATTTTTATAAATACATTAAAATTAATTTTTAAATTATTTTATATTTCCTTTAAATTAAATTATTATTTTGTTCAAAAAATTAATTTATTTATACTAATCCTCTTAATAATAATATTGATTTTATAACTAAATAATTTTTCTTTTTCATTTAATATTTTTTTGTTTTTTTATTTTCCAACAAATAAATTAATCTTTAAAAAAAATGTCATTTAACTAACTTTAATATAGCGTTTTATATTTATTAATTTATATAATACTATGTTTATGTATAAATAATAATAATAAATATAGTTACAATAAAAAGATTTAGAAAGATTTGCTGTAATTATATTTTTTTTTGGATTTTATTTAAATAATTAATTATTATTTAAGATAACATATGATTAAATATAATAATTATATTAAAGAATAAATCCTGATATGGATTCTTAATTAGCTGATGAATTAAATCGATACATAAATTAGACAATGCTTGATCTTTAAAAAAATAAAATAATACCAATGAATAAACATAAATAATCCATACTTTAAGAACTAAAGAATAATTATTTGGCATTTGCTTTTAAAAAATGATTGAATATTTTTAATAGGTAGATTAAAATATATCTAATATTTTTATTAATCTTTATGAATCATAAAAACAAATATTCGAAGATATATTAAAGTTTATTTAAATTCGATTTTCATATAAAAAAGATCCATAAACAGAAAATTTAGTAATTAATTTACATTTATAAATTACTTATATAATTTTTTGTATTTCTAAAATAATAAATAAATTAAAGCTATTAAAATAAGAAATTAGTGAGCTAAAATAAGAATTAGATTAATTAAAGTAAGAAAACGATTAATATTTAAAATTAATAATTAAAAATTCTAAAGAAAAGAATTAATAATAAATATTATAATAGTTCGAAAGTAATTTTTAATAATAGGAAGAAAATATATAATACAACGAAATAATCAAAGTTATTTTTTTTATTTAAACAACAACAAAACTTAATTTTTTAGTAAAAAGTTTATCTATATAAACTTTATCTATTATAAATCCAGTAAGAACATTAACATTGAGATAATTGAAAGAGACTATAGAAGAAATATATAATTCAAAAGAAAATTTTGATAAAAAATATTAAGAAGCATAACTACCAAGAGAAACAATGGAGTAACACATGTATTCTTTTCTTAATTAAAAATATGGACTCAAAAATATAATAATTGAGTGGGCTACTGCTATAATAAATGGAGTAAGAAAATATTCTAAAGAATATAATGATATTGCAGTTTTTGGAAAAATATTAAGAAACGAATGTGATGAAGAATTTAGGTTTGTTTAAAAGTAAGTTAAGAAGACTACAAAAGACTTATTAAATGTTAATTTATAATAAAATTTATATATATATATATATATATATATATATATATATATACACTTAAAATATTTATTAAAATAATATTTGTAGATGTATTTAAAAGGAAAATATCCATATAAAAACACATAAGAAATAAAACAAATGTTAGAATAAAAAATTTAAGGATGGATTTTTGCTGAAGAATGTATTGATATTATTAATTATATGTATAATAAAGAGGATGCGGAAATTCTTATAGAAAATTTAAAATATAATTATAAATATGGCAAAAATAATATATTATTACAAAAGTATTATTTAAATTACAATTCATTCTATTTATTATATTTTATTATTAAGAAAAAATCTTACAAAGGAAGAATTTGAAAAATTAAAATAAGAAAAAAGCTAAGCTAAAATTGAATTTTATTTATTTCAAAATGTACATAAGAAAATAATAACTAATTTAATTTTTAAATATAATTAAAAAAGATTATTCTAGACTATTAATTGAAATGCCATGAAGCACATTTAAATAATTTTGTTTTATTGTTTAGATAAGTTGATAGAGATTAAAATGGAGTTATAAACGAGGTTATTTTCATTATTTATTTATATATTAAATTAAAGAATTGAATTTAGAATGAATTTAATGAATTATTATTTAAAATGGGAATATTAAAAGATGAACTTGATTTATAAAATTTGCTCAATTAAATTGATCCATTTAATAAATAATAAGTTACTTTTTCATAATGTATAACACTTTTTTCATAAGTAAATTTTAATAAATATATAGTACTTTTTTTTAAAATCTATATTTTGATTAATTAGGAACAAATAACTGATGAATTTGGAAATAAAATGTCATATATATAAAAAATATAAAATAACATAATATGAAAGGTTTATAAATTATATGAAAACAAAAAAATTATTTAAAAAAAAAATATTATAAAAAATATTTATTTTTTAATTAAAATTTTAATATTTTTTCATTATTTATTTTAAAGTTATTTTCCTATTTTTAAACTTGTTTATTTTTTATTTAAGAAACTAGTAAATTTGTTTATTTTAATTAAAAAAGTAGTAAAGAATAATAACTTCTTTCTATTTTTTTACAAATTATTTCTTTTATTATTTTTGAATTAATATTAGTTTAAGATTTATTAATATGAGGAATAAATCATATTGTATTTCGTTTTATTTAAAAATCTAATTTATATATTATATTATATTATATTATATTATATTATATTATATTATATTATATCTTATTTTTTTATTTTTTATTAAGCTTTTTAAAATTTGATAATATTTATATATTTCCTTTAATAGAATAGAAATTTTTTTTTGTATTATTTATAATTTTTTTCAAAATTTTATGAATTATAGAAAACTATATTATTATTTTAATTTTTTTACAAAAATTTTAGTTTCTAGATTAAATTTTCCATCCAATAAATTATTTTTATTATTTTTGTGTAAATTTGAATTAATAATCTTTTTTTGTAATACTATATATTATTTTATTAAGTATTATATTTTAAACTGTAATAATTTTATAATATGTTAAAATAATGTTTTATTTAATTTCAAAATAAAAATATATTATGATTCAAATATTTATTATTCATAGTTTTATTATATAATATTATTTAATAAAGCAATTTATAAATTTTTTTTTTTTTGATAAATATTTATCAAATTTTTTTAAATTATTTGTTTATAATTAAGTTTTTCGCATTTTTATATGTTTTCTAATCTTTTTTTTCATAGGATTTAATATTTTTGAAATTAAAGATTATTTTTTTTTATGAACATTGTTGTATATTTTAGTTTTATTTTTATTATTATTTAACTATTTTACCCCTTTTAATTTTAAATCCATATATTATTTCTTTTTTAATTTTAATTTGTATTTTAAAAAAATTAGATATATTTAAAGAAAGAAATATATTTCAATTCTTACATCTATAATATCCTTTTTTGTATTTATGGAATATTATATATTTATTAGAAGGAAATATGTTTATGTATTTTTATTTGATTATTATTTACTAAACTACATTATTAGTTTTTTTCTTCTTCATTTTATCCGAATTGTATAAGTTATAATTATAAATTTTAATATATTTAGAGAGATAAATGAGTTATTTTCGATATATAGATAAATAATAAAATTATTAGTAAAAATTAATAAAAAATAATCATAAAATCAAAAGCTTATAAAAAAATTATTATTTATAAAGTTGAACAAAAATTAAATTTTAAAATAAATAATTATTATTTAATATATTATAAAAATCATTCTTTTAAAATTTAAAATATAATAGTTTTTTTTTAAAAAAAAATAACAATTTCAATATGAAAATATATTAAATTCTTAATAGAATATTTTAAATAATTTAAAAATACGAATTTCCGCTATTTTATAACATTTATAACAATATATTATTTTCTAATTTAAATACAAAAATATATATTTTTAAAAATTAATAAATTTAATTTAAATAAAGTATATAAATATAATAAGGTTAAATTTTATTTATATATTTTTATAATAAATTTTTTAAAATGGGTTTTTGCAAAGAATGTAAATAAACCGTTAAATTTATAGTTAAAGATGCTTAGTCTATTTGTACTAATTGCGGGAAAACGCTAGTAATAACAAACATGCAAACTGAAAATTTTCAAGGGTGTAAAAGAAGAAAAGATTATATAAAAGAGAAAAATTCAAAGCTTTAAGTAAAAAATAATACAATAATTGATCATATAGAAAATTCTTGGGGCATATATTTAGAGTTCTTTTAGTAATTATTAATTGAATCATGTAAAAATATATAATAATAGTTTAACCTAAATAAGAAATTTATAAGTTAATGCAAATTTTTTTGGTTTAAATATTTAGAGTTTTTTCATTTAAATAATATACCTTTAATTTCATTTTTTACGAATCCAAGGCAAGGAAATAATAAGCAAATAAAACTAGTTTAATCAAAATACAATGCAAATATATAAAATATAAATGAAAACAAAAAAATAGACCAAAGCGAGATATTCGAAGAAGATAGTCAGAATTTTTTCGAGCAAATATTAAATGAAAAAAACGAAAAAAAAAATGAAGAAACAGAATTAAACTCTGTTTTTTTTTAATAAAATGAAGATATTGAGAATTTTTTTAGTAAAATAGTAACTTAGAATTATATTGAAAATAATACATAAGTTACAAATGAAGCACTTGATGAACTTTCACTTTAAAATTTAAACAATTTAAATAAAAAAAGATAAAATATAAAGAAAAAATTTAATTATGAAAAAGGAAAGTTAAATTACATTGAGAATGTATAAGAAGTATTTAATAATTATTTCTATTTATTATTAAAAAGAGAGGAAAAATGCATTCATAGCTTATATTAGAATTTTAAAAATATTTATATTTATATGCTTTATTTGGTTCATGGAAATCCTTCTAATAATCCAATAAAAAACATTAAAAAATTAAAGGATTGTTCACGTATTTATTAAATTAGTAGCAAATTTTTAAAGTAATAAATGAATATAAGAAATTTGTTTAAAATAGATAATATGGGAAAATGTTCTGATAAAAATGATATAGTTAATTTTATTTGGAAATATGATTGGATGATTTTTTTGATGAAAAATAGCAATATGAAAAATTATTAAAATGATTATTTTTAAACTTTATTAAAAATTGCTCAAAAACAAATACAAGATTATGAAATTTTAGAAGAAGAATCAGCTAAATAAACTGCTATCTATAATAAGTCTAAAAAAATGGCTGAAATAAAGCAAAAATTATCCAAAAACACATCATAATTAACCTAAGATCCTGAATGCATATAAAAAATTTAAGAAATTTAATTCCAAATAGAAAGATTTGAATAAAAAAAGCCCCTTTAATTTACATTAGTTTAACTTTCTTCTCTTAAAGCCATGTTATAATGTATTTTAAATGAAATATAATAATAGTCATAATCTACATAATAACATATTAATAATGAGAGTTTTGTTTAAGAAATATAGAAAATTATTCCTTTAGAATATAATATTATTCCTACAATTATTTATGTTTCCTTAATTTCTATACATGAACCATATTCGCCTTCTGATATAGTTAATTGGATGCAAAATGAAATTTTTTAATATAAATAAGGAATTTAATAATATAATTAAAATTAAATAAGTTTAAAAGAATATTGGAAATATCCTTAGAATATTCCAAGTAGCTTTTTTATAAGAAATAATGCAAAATAATTTCTTTCATTTTTAAATTTGGAGGGTAGTGTAAGCTTTTCTAAAAATTTAATGTTATAATTATGTTGTAAAATTATTTTTGATTTTAATTTGCCTAAATAATGGATTAATTATATATATAATATTTGTATTGTTAATGAAAAAATTGAAAAAGATGTTTATTTTATTGATGTTTAGGTATGCAGTGCTTTAGCATTTTTTATTAAAATTATTTACTTATATTGTTATGATGAAAAAAATTAATTTAATAAAGATTTTTGGGGATTAGATGATTAGTTTATTAATGTTAAGAATGTTTATAATAATATTCAAGAATATTTTGATTAAAAAAAATAATAAGAGTAAGATTTTGAGAATTTTTTAAGTATTTAAAATGTCAAATTATAGTAAATTTAAGATTATTTGGATAAAGCTAATAATAAGAATAATTTAAATATTAAAGATACTTTAGAAGAATAATATAATTTCGATTAATTAAAATAATTTCTTTATCAAAAAAATTAATTTAATATTAATTAAAGTATTAATTATTCTAGATTATTAATTTAAGAATAAAATAAAAAAAATATTAAAACTTAAACTAATAATGAAAATTTCATTAAGTTAATTGTTTTTAAAATAAGTGAATATTGTGGAATAAATCTAAAAAAATTAACAAGCTTAATAAAAAAATTTGAATTTATAGTTAATAAGTAAATAAATAAAAAAATTCCTAAAAAGATTTAAAAATAAACAGCGTTTGATATATACTTTAATTAATTAAATAAAAAATTAAAAAAATGATTTCAATATATTTTTATTAATTTAATTATAAAAAGCATATTTCTGTTTTTGTAAAATATATATATTAATAAGTAAAATTTAATCTCATATATAAATATTTACATCATATATAAATATTTATATTAATATACTAAATTAAAATATTATATAGCTTTTTTAAGTAAAACTATTTTTAATTGTTTAAAATATGTTTTTTTTTTTTGGGGGGAAGGGGGGAGGGTTAATAATTTTTTTTTTGAAAACACTGTTTATATATAAATATAAAAGTAAATATAATCATAAATTAATAATTAATAATAAATAGAAAGTATTCATTTAATTTTAAATTTTATATTATATATTTTTTAAAATTAGTTTATTATTTTATTATTAAATATCAGTATCACAAATCAATTTTTTTTTATTATTTATATTTTATTTTTCTTTAAGTATTTTCTATTTTATTAAAATTATTGTTTTTGATTAATATTTTATATATAAAATTGTACTATGGCATAATTTTATATCTTAATCTTTTTATCTTTAATTTTTTTATAAAAGTGACTCGTGTTCATACTAAAGTTGAAATTATGTGTTTGTTAAGTTTTAATTTTGTTAAATAAAATCATTATCTCTATCTTAAAATCAATTAAAATACATTTGCTATTTTAATTTTGTCATAAATAAAATATTAATTATTAAACCCTTTCATTAAATATATTAAAATTATTTCTTGTTAAAAAAGACATGAAATTATTTTTAAGAATTTATATTAAATTTTCCATTTATTCAATTTATACTTAATCATTATTATTTTATTATAAAAATTAGTATATTTAATCATAAATAGCCTTGATCACTAATCGGTAATAAAAAGCTTATTATTAATAGTTAATTAATTAGTCATTATACATCCTATAGCCTTATTTAAAAAAGTTAAAATTATTACTTAGTTTATTATTATTATATTACAATAAAAAAAACATTTATTATTATTTTGAATTATATAGAAGATTTAATTATAATTTTGGTTTTATCTTTTATATAGGTATTTATTTTATTAATATAAGTTTATTTTGAATATATTTCTGATTGTTCTGATAGATTGATTAATATTATTGCCACTTTTTAGATATTATATATTCCTTAAAATATAAATGGAAAAAAAATAATAAATGGATTTATAATTTATATAATTCAAAAACAAATTTAAATATATTATTTCATTTGAAAACATGTAAAATTCGTAATCAGAAAATTTTATTTCTTGTTAAAAAAAATATTATTAGAATATATAAAAAAAGAAAATTAAATATTATATAATTCTTAATATCTAAATATTATTCTTAAATTTAATATTATTTAAAATTAATATTCAAAACTTTTATATAAATTATTAGTAAAAGCATTGAAAAAAATAGTTTTTATTTTTTATTTTAAAATAATTGTATAATCTTTATTATTATTTTATCTATAAAATTAAAAGATTAAGAATAAAATAAAATGAATAATAGTATTTTCTGAAATTAATAAATGTTAAATGAAAAAAAAAAATATAAATATATATATTAAGATATAAAATATAAAAAAAAATAACAATTAGAATTATATATATATATATATTAATATATATATATATATTTATATAAATTTACATTTATATTTTGTATTTAAATTTTTAAGAATTTATTTTATATAAATAATTATTTATTTATATTTTAAAATCATATAAATATATATTTATATAAATATATTCAATTATTTCTGTTAAAAATATAATTAAGCATAAATATTTTTTATTAAATAATGACTAGTAATTATTAATTTATTTTAGGTGATATTAATACTTAAGAATAATTAGACCCTTCTAAAATAAGTGAATATATGTAATTTAAATTTAAAAGAATGTAATTTAATTAAAAATTAGCAAGATTTTACAAGATTATGAAAAATAATGTATTAAAGAATAAAATTTTAGAGATGCAAATCTTGCAACACAAAGAATTTAAGAACTTTAATAGCATGAATTGGTTTATAGATCCTTATCGATTGTAGAGAAAAATAAAGAAGAAGTTTATTTTTTTTATATTTAAAGCATTTATTTATTTTATTTAATAATATTTTTTTTTTTTAATTATTTTTAGTAAATCGAATTGGAATAATTAAATTTATTATAATTTAATGAGTTTAATGAAGTATGGGATAAAATAATAGAAGATCATGTTTAAAAATTGAAACAAATTGAATAAAATATGCTTTAATAACATAATTAAATACTATAAATGAAGGAAGAGGAAATAAATACGACAGTTATAGGAAAATGTAAATATTCAAAAGAATTTATAAATATGAAGCATCAATTAGATATTTTAATAAAATGCAAATAGTATTTTAAAATATATAAATTTTTATTTATTTAATAATTTAAATAAAAGATATGCTGAAGCTCATGAATAAAAAGAGAAATTAATAAAATTAGAGTATATAGAATAATAGAAATGGATTAAATCATAAGAAGATAAAATAATAAAAAAGAAAAAACTTGTTTAATAAAAACATGAATAAGAATTATTAACTTTAAAGTCTAGATTAGAAAATTCTTTATAAGAAAAAGTTAAATTGCGTGCTTTAGAATTAGAAAAGTATATATAATTAATTAGTTTTTTATTTCAGTATTTATTTATTTTTTAAAATATTTAGATTACTCTAAAAATTTTAAAATATGAAAAACGAATTGGAATTAAAATAAAATTTAGAGCTTTCTAAAATATAAGTAATGAATAATAAAGCTTTAACTAAATTCTCAAATAAATATAATAAATAAAATACTTCATATATAAACTGATTTAATTTAAAATAAATAAATGTGACTAGATATATATAATACTTATAAATTAATATATAATGTATTGCTTTAATAAATTAAAAACTATTTTCTCAAATAATTTTTACTTTTATTTTTCTTATAATAAAAAATTAATATCAATATTTTTTAAAATATTATGATGTAGGTTCTTTTTTTTTGTTTTTTTCATATATATCAATCATAATAAATATATTTATTCTAAATAAAATTAAATTTTATTTGGTAAATAAATAAATAAATATATAAATTTTTGTCTAAAAAACACTATAATCACAAAATATTTTGCTCAGTTATATTCCACCAGTCATTATTTTCAATTAAACTTTTACTCATTTCTATTATTTTATAAAAATTATCATTATCAAGTTCGCTAATTTATTTTTCAAATTTCATTTTTGCATTTTATATTAGAGAAAGAAATTTGATTTCTTAATTACTTAAATCTGGATGCCAAATATCTATAATTAATATAATTCTAGTTTCAGGCCCATTATGCCATGCCTTTTTTTAAAAAATATTATTATATTAATATATAATTTTTTTTTAAAAAAAATCAATAATAATATTAATACTTCATGTTCAAAAGAATCATCAAATACATAACATTTTCCTTCTTATTATTCAATGATATGTTCTCCAACCCTTAATCTACTATCTTTTACTCCTATTAATGGCATATGAAATCTTAACTTTTTATTTGTTGGACCATTATGTTTTAATATATGAGTATTTGGTTACATAGCTGAAATAAAGGCATGACAGTAATGACGAGGAAACATATTTACTATAAGATTCATAATTTTGGGTACTTTTTTACAATTTTCTGTGAACTCTAAATTATGAAGATATAAATAAAAAACATTCCAATCTCCTTAATCAGTTGATTTTCTACCAACTCCATCATCTGGCTTTATATTTGAAGTCCAAGATGGCCCTCTATATGGTTAGAATCCTTTTTAGTTTCTCAAAGATAATACTTCTTCTTTTATTTCTTAAAAATGAGTTTCTATTTAAGTTATCCAAGTTAAATCTTAGTTTGTCCATATTGGTTAGGCTCTTAAACCAGGTATTATTTCGGGACAACCCTTTTATTAGGGAGGAGCATTTTCTAAATTTCTTATATTATTTAGTTTATGTAAAATCCATTGCTTAATATGAGAAGCTTGTGGTTTATTTATGTTTTCTCTTAAAAATTTTTATACTGCGAATTTCTAAAAATCGTTTAGGTGGTATTCATTATATATTTAATTTAATTTTTTAAAAATTATCTAATCGTTTTAAGTTTATTGATTATTTTCTGTTTAGTCATTTTCTTCTATCATGTTCTTTTTACTTAATTTATTTATTTATTTTATATTAAAAAAAAAAAAAAATTTTTGTTATAATTATTATAAAAAAATTTTAAATTTAATTAAAAATTAATTAATTTAAAAAAAAAAAATTAACAAATTATAAATTTTTTTTAATTATTTATTTATTATTTTATTAATAATATAAAGTATATTCTTATTATTTTTTTATAGAATTTATATTAAACTTATGATTCATAAAAAATTTATTTATTAAAGATGAAAAATATAGTTCAAAATATTGATTAATTATTACATTTTTTTATCAAAAATTTTTTATATTTTAATTTTTATTTTAAATATAAAAATTAAATAAAAAAAATTATTTCTAATTATCATATGAATTCTAAAGAAAGTATTTTTAAATTAAATATACTACTATATTTTATATAATATTTAAAAAAGTTTAAGATTCTATAGTTATATAATAATAAGATTAAGTAATTAATTAATTTTATTTAAATAAAATTGAAAATGAATTCAATAATATTCCCACAAAAGTAATTAAAATAAATGATTTTAAAATAATATATTATATTATTTTTTAACAAAAAAAGACATTTGATATTTTAATTAATGCAGGAGAAATTTTGAATAAAAAAATAAAATACTTGAATCCAACTAAAGTTCTTAAAAAAATAAAATTTATTTGCGATTAATTAAATTTAGTAAAGATTAAAAATAATGAAGATATGATTTTAGATTAATAATGTAATTAATCATTAATAATTATTTATATGAATTTTATATTTAAAATAAAAAAGAATACAATTATATAAGATTAAAAATAATAGCACCTCTTACTAAATGTAAAACTATTGCAAGAATCGGAATATTCTAATATAATGATGGCAAATATAATTTGATAGAAGGATTATTATTTTAAATTACCATTTAGTGATATATAAATTTTTATTTTTCGAATTAGATGTTACGTTTAATTTTAATAATTTTAAAAAATATGCATACATATATATTTATATGAGAAATTTATTATATATTTTTTTATATATAATGTTAAACAGACAATTATTTTTATTTTTTTAATATTTTGTTACATATTTTTTTTAAAAAAATAAATAGTTTAAAATTATTAAATATATTAAAAAAAAAAAAATTTATATTTAATATTAAAAAAAATATTAATTCAAGTTTTTTTAAAAATAATTTACTATATAGAAATATTGAAAAATAATCAAATATTTATATACATATATATTATATATTTATATATATATATATATTTATATATTTAAAAATTAGAAATTGTAAATGGAATTATTAGATCCGTAATAATTATTTAGACAAATAACAAAATTAATAAAATAATTTTATTATCTCCATTTACAATATGCATTAAAATCATTTTAAAGAAATTTTTACTTCTCATTAATTTTAGTTTTATTCCATTACGCCTAATTAATATCTTTATTATTTACCGATAGTTTAATAAGTATTTTAGACACATAAAAATAAAGTTCAAAAAAAGTTTCATAAATGATTTCTTTATTAGTTAAGTTTTTTTGATTTTTTTAGAATATATCCTTTGTTTTAAATATTTTTTTAAAGTTATGGTTAATTAAACGAATATTCTGTATTTATAGCATTATCTACAAATATAGCTTTTATTATAGCAATTTCACTTTAATTTATTTTTAAAAACGAAATCATCGCTTAACTTTTGGGTTTGGTTAGTAGTTTATATTTAGTACTTATAATTTTATACTCTTTATTCCATTTCTGGAAATTAGTATTACAACATCAGTTTAGACTAATATTTTTTTAGGTGTATTTAATGTACTATTGACATTTATTATTGGTATTTTTGTTTCATTGCATGATTTTAGTTTTTCTTTTATTATAAATGATTATTTATCAAAAGATTAATCTGTAAAAGATACGATTTTCGTATTTATAGAAGGTCTTTTAGTAGGTTTATATGTCAGAAATACTTAAAGTTTACATTAGATATTACATTTGATTGCTTCATGTTATAGAATAGCTGATTTAATTGTAAATTTTCCTTATTATAATAGATTGGTTTCTAAGTTAAATTTTGTAATGTCGATTTCTTATTTTTGTATTAATTTGATTTTATTATGTGCATCATTAATGAATTTTTCTGGAAATACAGATGTTTTATTAATTTTAATTTTCATGTTTAGTTTAGGGCTTAAAGGTGCTGGAGTTTTATATGATTTTTTAATGTTAAAGATTTTATAATTTTAAAGAGAAAAAATCCCTAATTAAAATTTGGCTAATTTATATATTAGAATGCTTTATGATTATCAAAATTTAAGAATTACTTAATATTTGGACAAGGATTTCGGATATTTTGTCGAATTATGTTATTAAAATCATTAGTAATATTGTACTATTTAGGATCCTTATTGTGATTATGATTGCTATTGTAGAAAATATATATCAGAAAATATACTTAATTTGAATATAGAAAATGAATGGAAATACTTTATGACTAATTATATTATAGAAACTTTCAAAATTATTTTTGATTAAAATAAAAATACGCCTTAAGCTATTAATAGATTGAAAGTAATTTTTTGTTATTTTATATATTTAAATTTAATATAAAGGTCATTTATTCTAGTTTTCTAAGTGAAATTGTTTGCTCTCCTAATTTGGCTGTTACTTAAACTTTGACTTTAAGTAATAATTGTGAAAATGAGTCTTTTAAAATAAAGTGGGCTATACATATGCTTAAAAGATAAGTTTGGATTTCTTATAAACCTATTATTAATGATAAAAAAGTCTAAAATTGTAGATTAAATTTGAAAGGATTATTGGATTTTGATAAATAAATTATTAATGTTGCTCATGTAATTAAAAAGGAAATTATAAATATGAGAGAGTTTTATTTATTTATAGGATCTGATTATATATGTCTTACTAAATTGAATTAAAAAGGAATTAAAATGCTTAGTACGAGAAAATATATTAGGAAAAAATTAAAATATTTGTTTGATTTAAATCCTTTTAATTATTAACTTTTACTTTTAATGGATATTTATAGTAATTATTTAGATATAATTAATTCTAATGTTTAAAATTATTAAAAGTAAAGCTAGAATAAACTTAAAGAAAATTTATTAGATGAAGGTATAATTGTTGTATTTTATTATTTCTAATATTTTATTTTTTATTAGATTTATATATTGATTATTTATAGTTATAATCTTGTGTCATACATGCTACTTTATTAGATAACCCAGGAAAAATAACAAGACTTACAAAAGAAGTATATAATATTTTCGGAATAAAACAAGAATAATTAATTGGAAAATAAATAGATGATTTAATGCCTTAATCGTTTACAAAATACCACTAAATTATAATAAATAATTTTATAAAATGTTAAAAAAATCAATTCAATGATAAGAAATTTATAAGATTTGTTTTTGGAATAAATAAAAATGAATTTATAATTCCATTAGATTTGAGAATAAAAATAGATTATTTTACAGACAATGATTTTGGAGTATCAGCTTTATTAACAAATACAAAATAAACAAATGAATATATTATGCTAACAAGCGATTTTTGTATAGAAGAAATTACCTAGAGGTTATATGAAACGTGTTTCTCTTTTTAATATAAAAATGATATTTAAAAAATAAAAAATATTGATATTATGAGAATTATACCTTTAGTAGGATGCTTTAATATGAAATAATCAGAAGTCTTTTTTTCTGGAAAAGATATAAAAACACTACTTATGGTACCTTTGAGTAAAAATACAATGAGTTAATTAGATAGAAAAACGGGAAATCCGGTTATAGAAATTACTTTGTTGTTGTGTAAGACATTTATTCATAAATATGCTTTTTTTGAGATTTTGTTTAATTTCTAATAATTTCGCAGTAGTATAGGGAAAACTTATTAATATTTAGAAATTAAATAATTAAGAAGGTTATATAAAGTTGTATAGAAAGTAAAATATATTTTTTATAATTAATTTATTTATTAATAAGTTATAAAGGTAGATCAATTAAATGAATTAAAAAAGGAAATAAATCTTATTCTTAATGTTGATTTGAAAATGACTGAAATAAATAATTAAAATTAATATATTCCAAAAAATGTATTTACTAGTTAATATTATTATACGTCTTAATCTTTTCAAAGTGATATAAATTAAAACGCAATATTTACATTATCCAAAAATTAAAATAGTATAAGTTCAATAGAAGAAGAGTAAGTAGGAGTAAACTCGAATATATATAAAGATGAAGTAGAAAATCACGATAATAATTTATAAATTAAAGAAGAATAAGAAAAAATAGAGGAAATTAATAAAAACGAGATGGAAAATTTATATTCTTTTAAACGTAATTTGAATAAAAATAATGAAAATTTAGAAGAAATTAATAATTCTGATAGATCATATAATCTTTTGAATACAGAAAACACTGAACATTTATTATCAAAAAGTAAAAAGATAAACATGATATAAAAGAAAAGTTAAAATTCAAGAGAAATATATGAAAATAGTTTCCAGATAACTTAAAACGAGAGCAAATATTAGATTAATTCTAATAATTAATAAACAGTTTATGAAGAATTGAATGAAAATAATTTAAGTTTTGGGGGAAAATAATAAAATGAATAAATTAAAAATAAAAGTTAAAATAGCTTATATTAATCTAAATATAAAGGAGAAAATTCAATATATATTTAGTAAAAATCTAATAATAGTATTAACTAATGCTATTATTTGAATAAAACAAATAAATAATAATCTTTATAACATAAAATGTCAAAACTATTTAGAAAAATGCTAAGATAAGTCAAAAATTAAATGTTTATTATTAAAAAAATAAAGTAATAAAAATTTTATATGGATGAAAATAAAAGAGATATCGATGAAGTTTTTATTGACGGGGTTATGGTTAAGGATGAAGTCGAAGTTCCTTAAGAAAAATACTTTTAATTATAAAATAGTTAATATGGGAAAAAATAACCTATAAAAATAAATAAAAAATAAATAAATTAATCTAATTCGAATACATAAAATAATAATAATATTAGTAATAATATTAAAAAAAAAATCATCAGATTTATAGTTCAATAGAATTCATTGGTTTTTATTAAATGTAATTTTTTTTATTTATTTTTTATATTTTTTGTATATCTTTTTAGTTTTGTTCTTTTTTTGGCTTTTTATTCTATTTAATTTAATTTTTCTCATTGTTTATTCTTATTTTTAAGCTAATAGTTAATAAAATGCAATTATTTAATCACTTTAAGAATAAAAACTTTTATAAGTCTTTTTTGAAAATATTATTACTTAAATTAGTAATCCTGAATATATAAATCTAACAAAGCTAGAAAAAAGTCTTTATCCTTTAATATATCCACCAGATTCTAAATCTATATTAATTATATAAGAAGATACATTAAAAGATATTAATTACATCGAAACAACTATTTAAAATTTATTGTTATTACATAATGATTCAGTTTAATTTAAGTATAAATAAATAAACATAATAAATAATATATTATTAATTATAATAATAAATAGATTTATAACTACAAATGATATATAATTAATGTTTTTTTATGATACTACAATTGAAAAAATTAATTTTAAAATTATATATTATTTATTAATATTTCCATCATTATCAGAAAGGTAAATTTATTATAATTTAGAAAAAAAAAAAAACTATTTTTTTTAAAATAAGAAATTTTAAATCCATAAATAAATAAAATGATTATAGAAATAATATGATAGCAAATTTTAGAAACATATATGAAAAATTAATTGAAATTATTAAAGCAGATAATTAAAATCGTATAGTAAAAGTAGATGAAATTAAATATTTTGTATAATTAACAATGATTTTTGTATTAGTTTTTAGTTAATTAATTATATTTAGTTTATTACCTATTTATTATAATGTTTAATTAAAGAGAGAAACTTATTTATATTTATTTTCAACTTTCTCAAAAGAAAATATTAAATAATAATTATCGATATATGAAAAAGGAATAATTGAAATATGTTAATTTAAATATATAATGGAAGATAATAAAAAAAAATTCTATATAAAAGATTAATTAAATAATTTAAAAAAAAAATAGATTAGTTAATTAATTTATTTAAAAAAAATAAATTTACTAATTCTATTTTTAATTTTTGTAAATTTCAATTTATTTAATATATATCCTGTATATAATTACTTTCAATTAAATTCATTATTTGATTAATTAAGTAAATATAGTACAGAAATAGATATTCTAGGATAATCTTAATATTAATGGAATACTAATTTAAGCTTATTATTAATGCTTATAAATTCAAAAGTAATGCCAAAAAAATCAATTTATAATATGGAAGATTTTAAGAATTTATATAAAGTAAAAGATTTATATAAAAATAAAAATAATTAAATTTATTATATATAAATATAAAAATTTACATATATAAAAATAATGTATAATATATATATATATATATATATATATATATATATATATAATATATATAATTTTATTTATTTTCTTTTTTTTTTATTTTTAAAAAAATATAAAAATATTTTATTAAAAAAAAAAAAATTTCTCTTTTACTATTTTTTATTCTTTATTTATTCTTATATTTATTTATTTTTATATTTAATAATTTTTTTTTTTAAATAACAATGTTTTGCTTATAAATTTTTATTTTAAAATAAAAATCAATCTTAGTAAATGTAAATTTAAAATGACATTATTCTTAAGAGATTTTATTAAATTGATGAATAAATTAATTCTGATAGATTTAATTTTGAAGTTTTTTAAAGTGTTTTTTCATAAGCACTTAATAAAGATGCTTGTAATGCAATATTCGGAAATATAAGTAAATTCTAGTAATAGGATTATTAATATTATTTTGATTTTACTTCAGATTAATGTATTTAATCTTATAATGGAATCTTTAATAATGGAATTATATTTAGTTTAAAATTTTATTTTACATTATTTAATGATTCACAGTAATTTATAGAATATAATAATGTAGAAAATTTTGTTACTGAATTTAGATAATGGGACAAAAAATATAATTTATAATAATTACTTTAAAGTTATCTTATATATAAAAACATAATTATTATGTTAATATAATTCAATATATAAAATTCTTAAGATTTATTCAATTAAATATAAGCAGTTAATTTAATTTTATTTATATATGCAACTTGTTCTACGGTAATTATTTTGGGAATAGGAGGATATTTCCTTATTAATAAATTTAAAAATAAAATTATCTAATCTAAATTATTATTATCTTTATTAATGGTAGATTCTATAATTGAAAACTCTTATATTATGAGTTTTATAATAAAAAACACATAAATTAATATTTGAATATTTATTATATATATATATATATGTAAATTTATTATTTTAATTTTATAAATTATAATTTAAAATATATTAATTTATATGCTTAATAAAATATATTTATATATATATATATATACATATATATATATATATATATCTTTACTCTTATTCCTTATATTATAAAAAATAATTTATTTTTGATTTTTTATATTAAAAAATTTAACTAAACTTCATATTCTCTAATAATTTGCAGAATTAAAATTTATATTTTCATTTCAATATAGATAAGTAATTCTATTTTTATAAAATTATATAATAGCTTCGAAACAAAATATATAATATCAACAATACAAAAATAATAATTTCATTTAATATTTTTATATATTTATTAATTAAAATAGTCAACTTATTTCATTAAAAAACTAGACTTAATGATGATAAGATATGTATATTTTTCCTGATACACAACTAAATTTAATAAAAGGAATTTAATTATATTAATATATAATTAAATTACATAATCCGAAATATTAAAAGAAGAAAATAAATAATCCTTTATATATGATGTAAATTACTATTTTTTAAATTTAGGGTTTATATAACCTCCTTAGAAATTTTAATAAGCTCCGCTGAGGTTTTTATTTATAAAAGGAAAGTTTTTAATTATGAATATGAGGTCACTTATGAAATATAATTAATGTAAATTGATAAATAATAATTTCAGGTTTTTAAAATTCTTGTTTTTAAAATAATGGATATTTTATAAGGGAAAAAAGATTAATGTAAAGTATATTTGGGAAATATTATCAGTAATATATATAGAATTTTTTAAAAAATAAAAAGCTAAAATTTCAAAGTAACGAACAACTGTAAAAAATTTGAAAAAAAATTGACAAATTATAGTGCCTACTGGTTATGATAAAAATATATATATAATTTCTGTAAAAAAAAGTTTTCATATAAAATCCTTTAGCCATTTAAAAAAATTTATGATATACATATATATATATATATATATATATATATATATATATATATATATATATATATATATATATATATATATATATATGATTTTTATGTATCTTTTTATTCCTTAAAATTATTTAATTATTTTTTAGTCTAATTATAAGCAGCCAGTATAAATATACTTTTATAAATAAAACAATGATTATATACTTAAAATTAAGAATTTGAAAAAATAAAACTTGAAAAACGAAGAATTTATTACTATTAAAAAAATATAAAATAAAGAATTTTAGTATAATTTAAATTTCTTTTTGGAAGATTTACTTCTCTATAATATTGGCATGTAATATTTTTTGTTTTTAATTTTTTAAGGTTTCCATCATAATTAATATATGATCTTTTACATATTGTGGAGTAAAATCGACTGTATATATTCAAAATTTAATTATAAAATATAATACTTTTTTATCGTTAAATAATTTTATAATAAAGTTTAAAATATAAATGATTTAAATTAGATTTATGATTACTTTTGGTATTAATTTATTTGAATATTATTTTTGTTGTTGTTTATTTTTAGTAATTAAAATTTACTATTTTGTGAAATTGTGTATATTTATTTATGATTATTTTTTTAGTTTTTATTAATTTAATTGTTTATTTTTAAATTTTTAAAGTATTTTTTAATATTTAAGTCTTTCTCTTCTTTTTTGTTTAAATAATGTTCATTAAATAAAAATTATAACAATATGAAAATGTAAAAAAATTATAAAAAATAAAAGGGGATGATAATATACATTTTTATCAAAATATTATTAATCTATTAAATTTACTTCTTAATTTTAAATACTTTTAATATTTTCAGATTTCTCTCTATCTTTACACCAAATTATTTTATCCTCCGAATTTCCTTTCTTCATTAACTTAAATATCCAGTAAAAAATCTGGTAAATATTCATCATAATATCTAAATTCAATTTTTTAAAGAACACCATTATTCATTTTGAAACAAATATCATTCGAAAGTTAGTTTCTTTCCAAATCTTTCTAACATAAAATTTAGTTAATTCCCTCTTCATAGGCTTTACTAATACTTTCATATTCAATAAAAGGCAATTTGATAATTTATTAATGTTCCATAGTAGCTTCATATTCATCTATTTCAATAACGTCAGGACAAAAAGGCTTTATGTACTTTTAGAAGGAATTTTAGAAAGACTATGGGAGTAAATTTACATTTTCTGGATGTAAAATACATAGCAATTATTTAAAAGGGGTAAAGCTTTCCGTTTTTTCAAAAAATGCAATAAAATATGGATTTCTTTATAAATAATTTACTATATCTTAAACAAAAGGTGCATAATAATTAGGATAATAATAAGTCCAGGAAGATTTTCGTATTCCTTAGAAATAATAAACTAATGTAAATTAGAAACCTTCCAAATATTTTTCAATTAAAAAATCGAGTTCTTTTTATGAATTTACTTTTAGCTTTTCTTACAAATAATCTTTTCGTTATTTTTCATCTATTTTTTATTCATTTTTTTCTTATTCTATTTCTTATTAGACTTATAGAACTTAGATAGGAAGTGACTATTAGTTTATGTTTTTTTCCTATTCTTCTGAATCACTTGGGTTATTTATTATCTTTTCTTCATGTATAGACAGTTATTATAATAATTTAAGTTGGTCTTCAGGAAACTATATATCGATAATATTATTTTAATCAACTTATTTTTTTCTATAAGAAGATTTTCTTATTTTAAAAAGTCGTTTTTTAATTCAAATTGAGGCTCAAGATTAGCCACTATTTAAAAGAAATTTAAAATATTAGAAAATTAAATAATTCCTCTTTCACTTAAATAGTTTTGGGCTGTTTTTAAATAATCCTTATGAAGACATAAGAGTTTATCTAAAATATGTTATTCTTTATAGAATGTTTTTTTTATATATATGTAATTTTACTTGGGTAAAAAGTCATTTCCTGCAAACAAACTTAAAAATACAATGTCGTCTAGAATTTTCATTGGGTTATACATTAAATTAATTATTTCATTTCTTTCAAAAGTTTCTTTATATTTTTTCAAAAGTGATCTTTTTAAACAATTAATGTCTATTATTTCATATTTTAAGTTATATTTATTTTCATCGCCGCTATTATCTTTATTTTCTTAATTTTTTTCATTATTTGTTTCTTAGTTTGTTAGATGCCTATTATTATCTGTATTATCATATTTTGTTTCGTGATTATTTTTATGTCTTCTTTAATAATTGGATTATTTTTCTTTATTATTATCTTCAACTTTTTTTTCTTCTTCTTCTATGTTATTTTTTTCTTTTTATTTATTATCTTATTCTTAATGCTTATTTTCTTCTTTATGTTTATTTTTATAATTAGGTCTTTATTCTCTCAAAATCAATATTTTTCTACCTATAGCAGATAAAGAGAGTAAAATAAGATCAGCATCAGGACTAACAATACAATGAGTTAATTTAAAATTTTTATGCTTTCTAATAACTTCTAGTATTTTATGTTCTCCTTCGCCTTAGCAATTACTATCACTGATTATAATATGAAGCCTTTTGTATGTAAAATCTGTTTTTTCATTTAAAGGTTATTCTTCTTGTATTTTTTTTTCAAAATGTTCTCTTATTCTTTTATTTAATTCAAACATGAAAGGAGTACCAGGTGAAACAGAATTACTTGGAACTGTTTATTCTTTTATTTATATCCCTTAATTTTTAAAGTCTTCTTTAGTTTGGTTTAGATTTTTTTAGGCATGAAATCTTCTTTATCTTTATTAATTCATTTTTGCACGAGGACATGTTCCATCTATGTTATATTTTATTATATAAAATAAAATAAAATTTAAATAAATACATATATTAATGAAGATTTTTAACATTATTTTTTTATAATTTTTTTTAAAAAACATAATCAATAAACAAACAAAAAAAGGCGAGTAAAAATGGATTTAGGCCTTTTATAACTTTGATTGATTTTTAAAAAAATTTAAAGAAAAAATAAAAAAAGTCCATGACAAGAATTAATATATATATTGTACCCATCATTAAATAAACTTATGATTATGGCTCTATTAATTGTATTATTGACTCAATATGTGTGAGAATGTTTTAATATATTTAATCTAGAGACTATGGATTTAATAAATACTAGTTTAAATCATCTTTTATGTACTAATAACAGAAACTATTTACATCTATATAAAGGCAATCTACATATTTTTTCTTTCCACTTTAATATATTTTACGAATACAAAAAGGATATCTTCTACATATCCAACCAAAATAACCTGGCACACCCATTTTTTTTTAGTTACTATTTAATTATATAATTTTTTTTGTTTTATTAAAATGAATGTATTATTTAATTTAAAAAAATTTAAAAGTTAAAATTAAAAAAAATAAAATATATAATCTAATTAAAAATGATATATGTATTTAAAAAAAATGATAAAATTGAAAGTAAATATATTATAAAATATAACATTTTATAAAATAAAATATTTTTTAAGATAAAAATTAAAAATAATTTATAAAATAAACATGGTAAAAATATAATAAAAATAAATAAGTTTTTATAAGTATTAACGAATGCTATATAAAAATGTATATAAATAAAAAAATAATATGATAAATATAAAAATATTTATTTTTGATAAATAAAATAAAAATTAAATATATAAATAGATGTTTACTATTATATAAAACAGAAATTATATATATAAATATAAATATTATATAATATATATTTATAAATATATTATATTATAATATATATATATATAATTTTATTTATATATATATTATTATATTTTAAAAAGAAAATAAATATATCTTTTATAATTAATAAATAAAAATAAATTTTATTTAATTTTACTATATTAATTATTATATAATTTATACATGTAATATATAAAATAGATTATATTTATCTAAATTAAAATTAACCTTATATCTAATATTTTTAATTAATAAAGTATTTTTTACATAATAATAATTAAATAATTATCTTAAAAGATTTTAAATTAATTTAAAATAACATTATATAATTTATTTATTTTTTTTAAAAAAAATTAAATTTATTTACATAATTTGTAATATGATTTAATTTTTGATTAGAGAATATTTATAACATACAAATAGAATATTATTCTATATAATATTCATAAATAGAAAATTTTTTATTATTTTAATAATCATATTCAATATTTTAATCTTTAAATATTATTGTAAAATTTATATATTTATTATTATAATAAGAAATTTTTTCTTCTTAATTTGTTTCTTAAAAAGTTTCAAATTATTTAATCATTTTTTAAAATTATAATTGAATATAATTAAGATATTTTAATTATTTTTTATATGTTTTATACAAAATAAAGTATTATATTTATAATTTAATTTTAAATCTATTATTGTGTTAATTTAAATGGAAATATTAAACTTTTTGAAGTTTTTATATTTAATATAGTTATTAATTTTTTAATTTTTAATTATATTTATATCTATCCTTTTTATTAAGAAATAAAACATATAATTAGATTGTATAGAATTTTTATATTTTTTGTATATGAATATTAACTTTTTGAAATATCTATCTGTTAAAATTTCAGAATATTATATATAAAAATAAATAACAATTAAATGAATAAATTTAATATATATTTATTATTCTGATAATGATTACAGTTTAAAATGTTTTATTTATGATTGTATTTAATAAAAAAATATTTTTTTAAAGTCTAAAATACATTGATTTATTAAAAATTGATTTTTTTTAATTTATCTTTTTTATTATTACATTTTTTTAAAAAAATAAATTAAAAAAATTTTTATTATTCGATTATTTTTAAAAAATAAAAAACTTAGTAAAAAAAATAAGGTGATAAAAAAATTAATAGTCTTTTTTTTTATTATACAAAAATAATAATAATTTTATAGATATGTATAAAAAAATTTAATTATATAATATAAAAAATAAAAAATGAATTATAAATAAACATAAAATCTTGAAAATCTTGAAAAATTTGATTCACTTTCTCATTTTATGAGAAACTGAAACTTAAATAACAGCCAAAAATATCCTTTTTATAACAATATAGATACATAAAATATCGGAATTCATTAATAATTAATATATAATACACTTTTTAACGGTTCTAAATACAACAATAAAAATATTGGAATTCCTTAAAATTAAATAAAGGAAACATTCGATGAATATTTAGATAGAAAATATAATTTTTATAGAAAAAATTAAGAAGAAGATTTTTTAAAAACAACTAATAGTTTAAAGGAAATACTTTATAATGAAAATAATGAAATTAATGACATTTTTTTTGAAAAACAGTTTTAACAGTTTTAAAAAAATTTAAATGAAAAAAAGGTTTCTTCATCTGTTTAATAAACTTAAGAAGTATGTAAAATATACAACACGATGTACATAAAATCTCCGGAAAATCTTCTCTATATTATAAATTTAGATTATTATACATTCCAAATACACCAATTAGATTTTCCAAATATAAATTATAGCTAAATCCAACTTTAAAATAGTGAAAAAATGCTTCTTATAAGTGGAAAAAAAAATTCTTATAGTATATTGGATCCTTAAATATATATTTTAGATTGGGAAAGGAAAAAATATAAGGTCTGTGGGAGATTAAATTATAGCAGAAATTAAAGTTTAGTTTTTTAAATAGAAAATTTTGTGTATATAATTGGCGGTTTAGGTGACTATGGAGAGATTTTATATTCTTGTGAGAAATTCGAGATTCGGGAATAAAAAATATATTCTATGAAAAATATTAATAAAAGCTTTAAAAAGAATTTAATTACAGGATGCTCTTGTTTATAAAATAAAAGCATTTATATTTGCGGATTCCCTTTTTTTGTTAATGATAATGCAGAATTCTCTAAATATGATATTTTGGGCGGATTTTGGTTTGATTTTAATATTAATATGGGCTTATTGAAGATTAAATAACCGAAATTTGTATATATTTAATTTGATTTTTTTAGCGGGAAGATGTTTTGTTTATGTTAAAGTTTAAATACAGTCTAAAATTATTGCCTAGAGCTTAAAATTGATGGGTTTGATTAAAATTAAGAAGATTAATAAGAAAATAATGAATAATAAATATTTTTCGATGAAAATAATTTTTATGTGAAAAGAAGGGATATTTTGTAAAAAAAGAGCAATAATTTAGTCGAGGTTTTTTAGAAGGCTTTTTGTGATTTAAAAAAGCCTATTTTTTTAAAAAAAAATGATTAATAGGAATTTTCCTGTTTTTTTTTGGAAGAAAATAATCCTATTATTATTCAAAAAATCTCTTTTTTATAAAAAAATAAAGAAAATATATTATTAAAATGTGTTTGAAAAAAATAAATCTTTTATTTATATGAGTATAATATATAAGAGAAAAAAAAAAAATGTTTTTATTAAAAAAATTAAATAAATTTCCTTTTTAATAAAAAAAACTTTTTTATTTTATTTCTCATAATAACAATAAGAATTAACTGTTCTTCGTTAAAAACTTTAAAAAGCATTAAATAATAATGATAAATAATAATAAATATAAATACTAAATCAATAAATAGTTTTATAGAAGAAGCTAAATAATTCTCCTATTTAATTAATTTAAGATCAGAGACATCTTGCGTCGTTACTTTAGCAAAGTAATTAAAGATAATAAGCTTTAAAAATATATTAGGATGCATTAGAATAATCCAAAAATGTAAAAAATGAGGAAATTTGGTTTTAATTGTATATAGAAACGGCTGATTTGTACAAATAAGAGGGAAATATTTAAAAAGCGGAAGATTTATATGAATAAGTGTATAATAAAACATAGGAAAATATTGAAAAATATACAGATAAGTAAGAAGTTATATAGGATTTATTAATTAGTATTGCGGAAATTTCCTAATAGAAAAATGATGTTGAAAAAGCTGAAAAATATTTCGAGAAAGTTAAAAAGAATATTCCTTTAAAAGATATTCAAAAACCAAAATAAAAAATTCAATATGCATTCGCATGTGAAAATCTAGCAAATATAAAATTATAAAAAGGACTTTTGGATGAATCTTAATAAGATTTTGAAGAAGTTTTGGCTGTTTATGGCCAAGAATTTGGCATTAGTAGTCCTTATTTGGTTAGTACGTATATAAATTTAGCTATTATATTCATTAATAAGGGCTAGTATGAGGAATCTTTGAAACTTTGTGAAAGATCGAGAGGTATTTTTGAATAAAATAATGAAAGTTTAGAACAATAAGTACTTATTTCGATACTTAGAGTGGAAACTTAAGCTTTATAGAAATTAAAAAGATTTGAAAAAAGTATATAAATTTTAGATTAAGTATAATAATTGAGTAAAAATATAAATTTAATAGTCGAATGTATTGCTTAGAAAGGTTATTTATTAATAAAAATGTAAAATTTTGAAAAAGCGTAAGAATAGATTTCAAAAGGGATTGAAATTTGCTAAAAATATCAAAACAATCCTTTTAAATATATTCTAGAATGTTAATTAAGTTATATTTTATTAGAAAAAAAAGAAAATATTGAATAAGCATTTTAATTAGCAAAAGATGCGTTTGATTTTACTAAAATTAATAATCCTAATAGCCCTAATATGGGGGATTAACTTTTTATTATGGGAAAAGCATAATTTTTAATGGGAAATTTAAAATAAGCTCAAAAATATTTAGGATAAGCAGAAGAGATATTGGAAAGATATAATGATGAAGAAAGTAAAGAGAGTTTGAAAAAGGTTTAGGCAATTATATAAATTTTAAAATAATGAATAATATATATATATATATATATATATATTTATATATATATATATATATTTATACATATTTTTTTTTCTTTATTATATATATTCTTTATAATTAATATATTGCCTTTAGTTAAATATTTATCTTGCTTTTTTAAATTTATTAAGAATTAAGAAAAAAAAGGAAATAAGAAAATAAATTAAAATCTTTTAAAACTAAAATAAAAAATATATATAAAATGAAAGAATTAAAAAATAAAACTTCATAAAATAAAATTGAATAATTAACCTTAGGAGATTAGTATAAATATATATATTTTAATCAAAATTAATATTATATAAAATATAATCAAATAAACAAAATTCAGGCCAGAAAAAATAAAATGCCCATATTGTGCCGCACAAACAAATACTTAAATTTAATTCAGAAATGGTTTTTTGACATACACATTAAGTTTATTAGTACTTGTAACAATTCCATTGTTAGCATCGATATTTTTGATACCAATAGTAATTTTATTAACTAAAAATCTATGCCATATGTAAAAAAATAAAACTAAAAAATAATTTAAAAATATATATTGAACAAAATAAAAAGATGTTTATGTTGTGATAATAAAGTTGGTTCAAATGGAAATTTAATATATGCATTAAATATAAAAGATGGTATTGTTTCATTTAAAATAGGAGAAATAGGTTTTATTTTAACTAGAAAAATAATATTAAATATAATAATATTAATAATAACATTTCTTGTAATAATGTACAAAATCAAAAATACAACATATCATAGTCATAAATATGGACATTCACATGCTAATGATTTATGTATTATATATATAAATGTTATTTTAAATATTTGTTTTTTTTAGTATATTATACAAATAGTACATGGAATGTATTCATATCTGAATGTAGTATTTAAAAATTCCGAGAGAAAGGATAATAATAAATGTCCTATTGTTGGAATAATCACATTGATAGAACTATTGTTTCATGGGAAGGTCATGTAATTAGAGTAGAAGATCTTTGAGGAAGTCTTTAATAATACATACATCACGCAGTAACAATACTAATATTAATGGATCCTACAGAATAGACAGAAGACAATAAATACCCAGATTTACTCTTAACTTTTGATAGTGAATTAGTAGGTGATTATGCTTAAGTTTTAGATTAAATAAGTAGAGGAAGTCATATTGGATTTAATGCTACTTGCAAAAGCGTAGGTTTGGATAATTAAACAAGACATTTTCATGTTAGGAATATATGGAAATTGGAAGGGGAGAAATATATTGAACCTCATATTCATCATAATGGAAGATATAAAGACACTAGTAGAAATATTAGAAAAACAGATTAAAAAATATGATAATAATTATTTATTTTCTTATTCAAATAAATAAATAAAAATAATAAATATAATATATAATATATATTATATTGGAGTTTATTATTTTATTTTCCTAAAAAAATATTTTTATATATTTAATTTATTTATTTATTTTGTTTATTTTTTAAAAAGAAAAAACAAAAATTATTTTTTTCATTCTTCATAATCTTCACCTTCACCTTCGCCTTCTTCTTAAGGTTATTTTTGTTCTTCTTCTAAAATATCATGATCAGGTAATTGTAATTTAGGTTCTTCAGGGACTATATGTTTATAAGGTTCTCTATAAGGTTCTTATTCATCTTCTTCGTCTTCATAAACATCATCATATCTTAACTATACGAAAAGATTCACTTTTCTATAGTCCTATTCAGCTTTATTTTATTAACTTTCCTCGCTTATCAGATTTGAAAAATCAAGAAGTTTATCGTAAGTATTTTCGATTCCATTAATTTTTAATGAGTAGTGTTTTTTGTGAGTTTTTTTCAATTTATTATACCATTAAGGAACTGTTTTTGGAATTCCATCACATTTAGTCCATTTAAAATCATAGATATTAAATTTGGGTTTGTTCTCATCTTCATCTTCTCCAGGAGGCTCTTCTGCTGGAGGAGCATCTTCATTTTCTTCTCCTTCTTCTCTTTTTACTACTTTGGGTTTCGGGGCTTCCAATTCCCAAGCTTCATCTTAAATATCATATAGAACTTTTTCATCAGTAAGTACACAAACCATTCTTATAGGCCCCAAAGCTTTTTCTATATTCATAATTTCATCAGAAGCTCGAGGATAAAATCTCTCATTATCTTTTCTTTCCTGGGGAGTATCTCCAGCAGGATACCCATATAAAAGTATATCTCTAGAGGATATTTTGAAAGTTTTTAAATGGGCCTAGACGGCTTACATAATAAGCTTTGGTGTATAATTAGAAGGGAATTAAGGAGGTTATTAAGTCCATCTCATTGAATATTCGCTTTATGTATGTTAATGAAATTCAAAGGGCTTTTACCAATAGTGAAGTTTAAGTATTTTTTGAATATCAACAAACATAATATTTTGACGCGCACAAAAATTCACAAACATTAATTTTTGGTTTTCGCTTCTTTCTTAATCTTTTGGATCTGTGTAATTGTTTAGGACATAAACTCTCTTTTAGAAAATATTATTTAAATGTCTTCGTGTACTTTCTAGTGAATCATTAGCATCTAATTTATAATAGGTACATCCGAAATTCTATTCAGCGGTTTATTCGTAGAAATTTGTGAAAGAACTTGCGTTTAGTAAAATCTCATCCATTTTTTAGATTTCTTCTTCTTATAATTCGGCTTCAATGTCCATTTGATTTTTTAATCTATATCTTTTAATATAATTACTTTTTTCCATATTTAAATCAATAAAGAATGTTGGTAAGCCTACTTTTTTCAAAAAAGATTGTAATTATTATAAATTATACACACTCGGCCATCCATCAAATAATGTTTTGTCTTTATTTCCTTTAAGTCTTTCCACGAAATAATTTTCTACTTATTAAAAGTTTACTTCTTCTAAAGGACCTTCGTCTCCTCCTAGTTTTGTTTTGAGCATTTCGAATGTACTTTCCCATTCAACTAATACAAAACCGAATTTTTCTGCTATATATTTTGATGAAGTAGTAATACCGCTACCTGTGGGACCCGATACGAATCCAAAATGTGCTCTTTCTGTAACATAAAGGTCTATAATATCTAAGGCTTCTCTATCAATATTTATATATTTCCCTTGTACATAATAATCTAAAATAGGGTTCATTTCATGATAAAACTTCAACTTGTGGTTTTATTAAGTAAAATTTACCAAATAATCAATTGGGAAAAGTTCCCTTTCAAAATTATCAAACTAAGCACTTCTTTCTGGAAAATTAGTCAAAACGAATTTCCTTAAATTAATATTCGAGAATAGGATTTTCTATAACATTTCAACTACATATTTAGAAGGAATTTCCTACCCAATTTGTTCAAAAGAGTTCATTTTTTAACCTAAAGTAGTTCCTCGTTCGATTTCTGATTATATTTATTCGTATACATCAAGGAATATGAAATCTCTTTTTTTTTCCAAAGCATAGCAATATTCAGCTCCTAAATCCATATTATTATACATAAATGCGGCTATTACTAAAGGTTTAATACTAATCATTACATTTCTTATAAGATTTGGAATTGTATCAACTGCATTTAAATGTACAAAAAAGGATTATTTTTCAATTAATGAAAGTACTCCTTATCTGTTTTTTATAAAAAGCTCATATTTGGCTTTTTTTTCTTTTCTTTCAATATCTGTTTCAATGTATTTTTGTATATTGTTCATTACTTCGTCTTTTGGAGATTCTAAATAAAATACACGGAAAGGATTTCCGAAATGGTTTAAGAATATTTCCGCTGAAGGGCGATCTGCAAAAAAAGAGTCGACTATAAAGTTCGAAAAAGGAGCATTTTCTATATAATATATGAGCTTATTTACTTTGTCTATTTCGTCTTTTACATTATGTTATCGGCTAAATTTTTCCAAACATATATAATGATATTTTATTTTATTGCTTAATCTTTCACATACTTCAGATTTAGCTACACAAGGAGCTCCAAACATAAATATTATATTTGGATGAATTGCATTTTGTACCTATTTGAATACTTCGTCAACTGATAAATTTCCGTCTACAGTCTATACTTTTCCAAAATGGTTATAAAAATCCAATACTGGAGCAGTACTTCTATGAAAAGTTTCTATTCTATTAGCTATAGCTTCATAATTATCATCTGGTCTGCCAGATGTCTCAGCTCTTCCAAGAAGTCGTTGTCTTAAGATTTCATCAGAAACTTATACATTCAATATATAATCAATTTCTTTATATTTTTTTTCAAAAAGTTTAGCTTATTCAATACCTCTTGGAAAACCATCAATAAGGAATTTCTATTTATATTAAAAATATATATTTGTAAACATGATAAAATATATTTAATTTTACATAGGATTAACGACTTTTTATTGTCCTTATTATCAAGTTTATTAATAAATCATCTGGTACTAATTCTCCTCTTGCTGTTAAATCTTTAAAACGAAGACCTTCAGGTGTTTCACTAAATTATTTATTAATTATATATTTATTTATTTTTAAATATTTATTTTTTTACTTCTTTACTTCAGAACGTACGATATCACCTACTGATATATGATTAAAATGATAATCTCGTACTAATCTTTCACATTAAGTTCCTTTTCCACTTCCAGGACCTCCGCTTACAAATACTATTTTTGGATTTTAATAGTTTAGTTAATAATTGTAAAGTGTTTTCATTTTTTTTTATAAAGAAAATTATTATTTATATTTTATTTTATTTTTTTCAGTTTTATTTTTTTTTTTAAATATAAAATTGATTTTATTTATTTTATTTTCAATATTGGTATATAATTATTATTTTTTTTAGTTTATAATTAAAAAAAAAAAAATCAATCAACAAAATAATCTGTTATTATTTAATAATTATATTCTTTTAAAATTTCTTACTCTTATATAATTTGGTTCTATTCATTTTAATTTATTTACGAATAATCTGTCTTTAAATATTCCAAATTATTTACTTATTCAATAAACTCTTTTAATTTAGAAGAAGTTACCGATTTTTTAATCAATAAAAGTTATTTCAAATCATTATGCTTTAATTCATCTATAATCAAACACTAAACAATATTTGTAGAAAAATTATTTTCCTATTTATATTTTTCCAATAAGGCTTAACTATGTTTATAATTAATAACTTCATCACTTTTTCCATGAATAAGCATAATAGAACATTAGACTTTTCCAATTTTCCATATGTTTCCATAGATATCACTTTCTTAATCTTAATAATTAATATCTACTTATTTTTCCAAGAAAAGATAAACAGATGCTAATGGAGCCTCCAAAATCAACCCTTTAATATTCTTTTTTATATTTCAAAAAAATAAAATATGATTTAAAAATATATTTACATTATAAAATCTACTTTATATTTAGAAGCAAGATGAACAGCAGGGCCACTTCCAAGTGAAAATCCCCATAAAATAATTTCATTAATTTTATATTTTAACATATCTATTCCAAAACTCATTACGATTTCGCAATCTTAATAAGTGTTTTCTTCGTTTGCTTCTCCTTTTGAAATCCCATATCCTCTATAATCATAGGCAAGTATATTAAGCTTTTTATTGTTTCATTTTTTGTAAAAATATATATATATATAAAATATTTTTATTTTTTTTACTTTATAAATTTTAGATAACTAAACTAATTAATAAAATATTGTTCCTAAATCACTACTGTTTCCATGATTATAAACGATTACTGAGTTATCTTTTGCTCTATTTTGTTTTTCATTTAATTTTGCATTTATTTTACTTCGCGTTCTTTATGTGTACTATAGGTATCATTTGTTCCTTCTTATTTTCGTTTTTAAAATTTATTCTAAATAATTCATATTTTAAAGAATCTGGAATTATTTCTTCTTATGGCTTATATTCTTTCTTTAGCATAAATAATACTTTATCTTATTATTCATCTTATGTATCTTTAAATTAATATGCTTTTTTTAAAAAATAAATATATATATATATACATTTCTTATATTTATAAATATTATATATATACTTGGAATTGGTTATTGATATAAAAATGTTTTCATTAGAAATTTTTTCATTCCTAATGTATTTCCTACAAATTTAAAAAGTTTTTTTACAAATGTTGAATTGTTATTATTTGATTCTTGTTAATTATTACCTTCCATATTTTTTTTCCTCTAATTTTACTTTATATTTTATAAAAAAATTATTATATTTATATATTTTTTCTAAAAAATTTAACTTAGTTTCAATTTGAATTTAATTAATTAGATTTTCATAAATTTTAAAATATAAATGTGTAAAAAATAAACTATGAAAATAATTATATTAAATTATTTAATATTTTCTTTAAATAATCGTTTTTTTATATTATTATTTGATAATTATAATTGTATAAAAAAAAATTAAATAATAAATAATTATATAAAAGAAATTTATTATTATATATATATTTATTATTATTTGAAATATTTTAAATAAATTTTTTTATTAAAAATAAAACTTACTAAAAATATTATATACTTAAATTTGTTATAATTTTATATTACATCAAAGCATCGTTGGTCTAGTGGCAGGATTATTGCCTTCCAAGCAATCGGCTCGGGTTCAATTCCCGGACGATGCATTTTTTTTTTTTAATTAAAATAAATAATAAATATTTATTTAAATATAATTTTTATTTTTAAATATTAATAATTTATATTTAATAGAAAATTCTTTTTATAATTTCTATTCTATTTTATATTGAATATAATAAAATATTATTAAAAGTATACTAAATTTATTTTAAAAAGATGTTTTTATAAATCAATTTAAATAAATTTAAGTAAATTTAAAAAATAATAAATATATAAAAATTTATACATATATCATTTTTATATTTTATTATAAATTTTACAAGGTTTATTTTCTTAATTATATTGATTAAATAGTAAAAATAATCTTTTAGTATTATTTTTTATTTATTTATGTTCAATTATCAAAATAGAAGTTTTCACTTTATTTAAATAGTTTTTATTATCTAGAATCTTCAATTGAAATTTTTCTGATTTTTTTTAAATTTCTAAATTTTCTTAATCATTATAAAAACTATATTTGTGTAATTATATAAAATTCAAATAAATTTTAATACATAAAAATCTAAAATTTAGAATTACTTATTAAAATCATATTAAGGTTGATTCTTTTCTATATTTTGTTAAAATTAATTTATTTAATATATGTATTATTTTAAAAAATAATTTACAAATATTTTCTTCTTCATTTTCAATACAATTTTTTTTTAAATCACTTTCAAAGAAAAAATTCTTACTTTTCATTACGATTTGATCATATTATTCAAAAATATCAATTTAAATATTTTAAATACATGTGCTTTATAAATTATTTTAATTTACAATACCATTATATTTAGTCTAACTAAATGAATCTTAATTTTAATTTTTTAGTAAATTTTAATTTTTTTTAATTTTTATTTTACTTTCTAGAACATCAAATTTTTAAATAAATAATTATTCATCATCTTGAATTTTATATAATATTTTTTTGTAAATCAATAAATATAAAATAAAAAGTAAATAAAAAAATATAGTATATATAAAATACTATTTTAATTAAAATACAAATTTTTTATATTTTATTATTTTTATTTTTACCTTCCAATTTATAAGAGCCGGAAGTATTACAAGTTATTTTTTCTATTGAATTTTTTTTCTCAGAAATTTCTTTATTAATATCATCACTTAATTCCTTTTTAATTCTATTTTATCTTTTTATTGAACTTTTTGTTTTATTTAAATAATTGCTTGAAGAATTATTTATTATTTCCCTTAGTAATCTTTATTCTTCACTTAATTATATATTTTACTAACAATCATTTTCAATTTTATTAAAGTATTTTTAAGCATGTGATCTTATTTGAGCACCTGTCCTTGTTCCTATATATTCTTCAACTTTTTTCCAATTTTTAGAAAATAATTTTATGCCATCTACAAATTTTTGGTGCTCTTCTTGTGTCCATCTTCCATTAACAATTTTATTTTTTTATTTAATATCTATATTTTATAAAGTAATTGATTAATGAAAAGGCGAATTACTAATTTTCTTTTTTGTTAATTTCATATATATATATATATATATATATTTTTTTTTTTTTTTTTTTTTTTGGAAATTAAAAAAAAAAATTAATTTATTTTTATTTTATGCGTAATTATTAATTTTTTTTAAAATTAGTTGTTTTTAATTATTTTATCCACGCATAAAAAAGTAAAAGATAATTATAATTATAGATTTAGTTTTACATTTTAAAATAATGTTTCTTAAAATTATTTATGAATTTTAAAAAATCCGATATTTTTTGGTTTTTTAAATATATATATATATATATATATATATATATTATTATTACATCATTAAATACAATTAATTTAATAATAAAATTTAATCTTAAAGCTTTATTTATAAAAATTAAATAGTATATTTAATATACTATTTTTATAAAAATACAGATGCATATAATTTTTTCTTTATTTAAAAATATTTAGGGCAATTTATTTTCATTCACAATTAAATAAAAATTAGTAAATAGATAGTTGTTTAACTTGTTTATAAATAAATCGAAAATTAATAATAAAATTATTAAATATAACTTTTTAACATTATTTTTATATTTTTTTTAAAACATATTAATCTCTTATTGTTTTTTAATTGAATTTTCAAAATAATTAAAAATAAAATATGTTAAAAAGTAATAAATTTTTATTTATTTTTTAAAAAAAGAGAACACTCTCTTATTTTAATGAAAAAATTATAATTTTAATAGATAAATTAAAATAAAAAATAATTGGATTATAATTTTAATATTATTAGATTTTTGATTTAAATTATTCTTTTATTTTAATAAATATTTGACGTAATAATTATATTAAAATAAAACATTAAAAAATTTATACAAAAAAAAAATATATATATATAAAAAATAAGAAAAAATATATAATATTAAATATATTAATTATTTTCTATCTAAAAATATTAAATCATATTTCATCTATTTCTTCTTCATTATTTTAATTTTAATTATCGTTATTTTATTCTGGCTGATTATTTTCTTATTAAATAGTCTATACATAAGCAGCGCTTTCAGAATTATTTTTTTATTACTATTAAACTGCCTTTTTGAATTTTCTAAAATTTATAGGCAAATTATTATAGTCTTCTTCAGAAATTGTATATTTTTAAACTTCTGAAATATCAGTTATTTCTTTCAGAATAGATTCAGGATTATTATCTTGAACATATATAATATAATTATCTTTAGGATTATAATTTATAAGTGTTTCATCATCTTACATATTTGATACATGGTTTCCTTGACTATCTTAAAGAATTAAATCCATCATTTCACTTTAAGTACCATATCTTTTTTCTATTTATTATTTTATTTAGTATATTGATTAATTTAAATCAAAACGAATTTCAGCGATTTTAAATTCACATATATTATGGGATAAATTTAATTTCACATATTAACCAGGAGCTGCTTAGTTCATTTTTTTTTTTTAATTATTATTATTTTTATTAAAAGTATATTTAATATTATTTTATAAAAAATATTGATTATTTTTATATGTGTATATAAATTCTGTTTATTTCTTATATATTTTAAAATCAAATTATATTTATTTTTTTATATATATACTTTTTACTATATCTTAATATTTTTAAATGAAAATAAATTGTTTATTATATGTTTTATGTGTTATAAAAAATTATATTATTTTATTATTTATTATTTTTAATAAAATTTTATTAAGATTTAATTTTTCAATATAGATAAAAAAAAATTGAATTTAATTTTTGTTAAATAAACAATATAAAATTTCTAATAAATTTGCATTTATAATAAGTTCTTTTTATTTAATGTCATATTTAAAAAAAAAATATTGAAAATTAAGTTATTTAAACTTAATAAATCTCTGGATTAACAGGAATGATTAAAAAAACCAATATAACAAAAATTTCGTAAATAAATAACGAATGATAAAAAACATAATAAAATTATATTAGCTTTAAAGACTTTAAATTTTAATAAAGAGCAAACATTGTGATTTAATTAATTATTTATATTAATTGTAATTTAATATAAAAATTTAAACAAAATAAATATAATAAAAAGATTTTTAAAGGAATCTGTTAATTTAAATATTATTCTTTTCTAATTAATAATAATTATTTTGTTTTAATTTATCAGAATAATTTATAAAATATAAGAAGAATAAATATAATATTTTTAAAGAATAATATTTCAATCAGAAACAAAATTATAAATACAAAAGTATCAAAAACATATATTTTAAAATGAAAAATATATATATATAAATATATAAATAATAAAAATATAAATATATTATAAAAAATATAAAAAAAATAAAAGAATGTATATAAATATATGTATTTATATATATATTATATATATATATAACTACATATTTATATTTATTTTTATTTATTTATTTATTAAGTACATTATATAATTATTTATAAATTACTTACATATTTTTTTCAATGAAAATAATTCAGAAATTATTAAATTTTAAATTTAATTCTTTAAAATAAAAACATGAAATTAATAAATTATTAATAAAATATATAAAGAATTATTTTAATTTAAATAATAAATATTATTATAACTTAAGTTAATTATTTATTCAATAAAATAAGTATATAAAGATTAAAATTTTAAAAAATATATAAATATTTAATTAATATATTATTATTATTATTTTTTTTATTATTATTATTATTATTATTATTTTATTATTATTATTATATGTAATCATATAATTATAATTTTATTTATTTGTATTTTATTTTTATATTTTATTATTAAATTTATAAAATATATAAATATTTAACTATTATTTTTTTTTACAAATATTATTTATATATTATTTATTTTAATTTACATTATTTATATTTTTTTTATTTTATATATTTATTTTTCTTATTTTTTATTATTTTTTTATTTGATAAATAATTTTTTTTTATTTTGTTTTGTACATATTTCAAAAACATATTTTTAATTAAAATTATATTATATTAAAAATTTATTTAATCGAAATTTCTAGAATACTATTAATTGATTTATATAAAAATAATTAATATTGTAATAAATTATAAATACATTAAAAATATTATATATATTTTTTATAAATTATAAATTTGATAAATATAATTTTTTTTTTTAATTTAAATCTCAAACATAATCTTTTTTAATTATAAAATTAAATATGTATTTCTTAATATTTTATAATATTTGAATGTTTGATTTATATAACTCTTATTTCTTATATATTGTATTTAACATTAAAAATTTAATTTATTAGTTTTTATTAAATAATATCTTTGTTTCCTAACACATAAATAATTTTATTATTTACAAGATTAAATTTTTCTAATTTTTTATTAGAAAAATAAAAAAATAAAGTAACATATATTTATTATTAATCCATAATAATTTTATATTTATCTTTTAAATATTTTAACCTTTTTAAATAAATAAAAATAAAAAACTTCATCAATCCAACAATGAAACTATATAAATAAGCCCGAAAACTTTTAATTGATTAATACGAATATAAGCCATAACCATTTTTAATGACTATGGCAAAGCCTTTAATATAACATCCTGAATTATATGAAGAGGCAAAAATATTTGTAGCCGAATAATTAAATAGTTATTAACTTCTTCCGATACCTATTAATGTTCCATTTGAAGAAAGAATGTCATTCATGAATATAATGTTTGATAGTTATGTAAAATACTCTTCAGTATTAATATGTCAATAAACACATAGAATAGGAGGCGTTTTTTTGGCTTAAGATTTCAAAAATAAGCTAAAAATGCCTTAACATGCACCTGATTGGGCGCATAGAATGCAAAATTTATATGATTATGCTGAAGAGGAATATTATAAAAAAGAAGATATTGACACTAAGAAAATAACAGATAATATATTTATTAGATAAGAAATTATGGCGATAACAAAAGAAATGCAAGAGTCTAATTATGATAAATTACTAATTTACCACAATACAAAATTACAAATATAATGGGATTACAAAATGTCTTTTTATTTAACTAATTCTTATTTAAAAAGCGGGTTATTAAAGTTTTTGGGATATTAAAAAGTTTTGGATATTGATTTGGATAATTATACTGATAAAGATACTAATTAAAAATATTTTAAAGAGAATGAAGATTTGATTGTTAGATAATGTCAACTTTGTGTTGCAGATTACCATAAACTTAATTGGAAGGAACTTACATAACTTAATTTGAGATTTGATGTATTGGTTGATGATATAAATGTTTAGGATTTAAAAATTGAAAATATTAAACAGAGTGTTAAAAATTTAAAACCTGAAGATTTTTAAGATTTTAATGTAGAAAATATTAAAAAAAAAAAATCTTGAATATATATATTTGTGAATTTTATTTCGTTTGTTTATTTTATAAAAAATTTTTTAAATTGAAAGATTTATAATTTTGGAAAATAATAATATTTTATTGGCTTCTTATTTTTTTTAATTTAATGTATTTTAAAATGAAACTTTTCAAATTTTTTTTTTTTTTTAATATTAAAATTTAGTATTAAAGTATTAAATGATTTTAATTATAAAAATAAATAAAAAAGACATATGGAAACTATATAATTAGATTTGTTAAAAAAAATATACTATCACGTATAATATAATTAATTATATATTTATATTTTGAGTTAAAATTATTTAAATACTATTTTAATTATTTGTATTTTTAATTTATATAAGAAAAAATAAAATAAAAAAAAGAATTATATAAAAAATAAAAAAATCCAATCTTATAAAAATAAAAAATTATTTTTAATTCTTTCTAAAAATATATATAAAAATATAATAATATTAATTATATAAAATATTTGTATTAATAAAATATGACATTATATTTATAAATAAATTAATATAAAAAAAAATAAAAATAAAATCATAAAATTATTTATACAATTTAATAAAAATATTAATATAGTATTTTTAAAAATTTAAATATATAATTTTAATTAACATTTTTTGAGAAGTTTTTTTTATTTAAAATTAGAAAATACTTTAAAAATATGTAAAATTAATTTTTATTTTAAATACCTATACTTTTTTTATATTTATAGTTATTTTACAAATAGTATAAAATATATTACTAATAAAAATGTTTTATTATTCTTTTATTTATATTATTTAAACAGAGATTATATAATTTCACTTCTAATCCTACCTTTAAATATAAAAATATTTTTTAATTAAAATAATAAATATAGTTATTTTCATTTAGAATAAAAAAAGATAAAAATTTTTTTTATAATATTTTAACGAAAATTATTATTATATATAAAAGTTTATAATAATATAATTTAAATATTAAAAAATAAAAAAATTATAAGTAAATAAATATAAATTTTAATTTTATATTATTAGTATAAAGCTTTTTGTAACAAAGCTAATTATAAATTTATCAAAAAATAAACGAATATTAATATTAATTTTTTTTTATTAAAATATTATTGAACATATATATTATAAAGAAAACTCAAAAAAAAGTAAAAAAATTAGTAAATATTATTATTTTAAAATTTATAAATAAATTATAATTTATATAGTTTATATTTTTGATAATTAAAATCAATAAGTTTAAAATAAAAAAATTATTAAACTTAATAAAAAAAAATATATTAAATAAAAAAAAAAAATTATATATTTTAAATTTTATATTTTGTATTTTATATTTTAATTTTTATATTTTATTTTATATTATTTATTTTATATTTTTTATAATATCTTATATTTTATATTTATAATTATTACTATATTTTATGTGTTTTTATTCTTCTAAATATTAAATATTTTAAAATTTCTAGTTTTTATCAATTATATTTATTATCTAAAAAATATTATTTAAATAAATTATACCATAAAATATCTATATTTAAATAATTTATATGGTGTTATAATAATTGAATTTTTATTTATATTTTAATTATATTTATATAATTTTGTATAATTTTAATATTTGTATTTGTATTTTAAATTTATTAATATATTTATAAAATTTATAATAAATTTTTAATTTATAATTATTTTTAATCTAAATTTAATTCATATTTAATTGATAATTCAATTTTTTATTTTATAATTTTAAAAATTTTTTTAATTATTAATTAAATTTTTATATGAAAGTTTTTATTAATGTTAATTTACTTTTATTACTATTTATTTTTAATTTTCATTAATTAAATTAAATAATTTACTTTTTTTATTTTTTCAATTCTTTATACATTTTATTATTTTAAGTAAGATTTGATATTTTATATTTAGAAAAATTATATTAATAAATTTAATAATTTTATATTAAATTTAAAAAATACTTTTTTTAATTTAATTAATTATTATTAACACAAAATAAAAAGATTCTAAATTTTAATGATATTTTTATTAATTTGATAAAAAAAATTATATTATATGAATAATAGATTTTTCTATCGTATTGTAAAATAAAGTATTTTTTTCAAAAATCAATTTAATTTTAATCTTTATTTCTAAATTATATATTTAATGTAAAAAGTTGTGTTATATATAAATTAATATAATGAATAGCTATAAAAAATCTAGAGAAGATTCGATTTTATCAATAGAATAATAAAAAGAAAATCCCAGCATAATTGATTTCCCAATAAAATTATGGCACAAACTAACTTTCTGTATTTTCGGAATAGCTTCAATGGCTGGTTAAAATACAATGCTTTCTACTTTAGATTTTTACAGATCTAGATATTAAAAAGATAAATTTGTGGATGTTTCTTTTTATTTTGTGGTTCCTGTTATGCTTTCGACATTTTTATCAGGTCCTTTTTGTCCTTATTTTGCAGAAAAATTTTCTTTAAATGTAAGAATTTCATTATCTTTTTTAATGGTTGGATTAACTCTTACATTAAATGTAATTATAGGCATATTTTATAATACTTGGGGAGGATTTAGTTTAACTCTTTTTATTTTTTTTATTTGCGGGTTTGTTGATAATGTAAATTCTAATTCTTTAATTATTTTAGGTTAGTAATGTTCTTTATAAATTACAAGTATTTTTTGGACTTTTACTGCTGTTTCAGGAATTTCAATGAATTGTTTAAGGCTTATAGCAATTTCAATTTTCGGAAAAAGCGAAAACTCAGAAAATTATAGTGCCGTATTGTTTGTTTCGGTTGTTGGATTTGTATATTTGATTTCTTCTATATTGTAGATTATATTTACAAATAGTTAATATTATTAAGGGCAATTAGAATTATTGTAATTTTAAGAAGAATAGAAATTGTATAATAATAATGAATTTACAGATTAAAATAGTGATAAAAAATATAAATATAAAGGATTTAGGGAATATATATAGGGTTTTAAGCAGGCTTATAGATATGCGAAAGTAGAAAGTATATTTATGTGGATTTTATATTGTTAGACTTATATATTATATCCAGGAGTGTGTATTTTTTAAAAGGAAAACATTAGTGTAATTCCAAAATAATATGCAGAAGTTTTTATGATATTATTATATAATATAGGAGATATGATAGGAAAATCATTAGGAGGTATTGAAAAATTAATAAAAAAATAAGTTATATATGGAAATATAATTATTAGACTATCATTTTTTCCATTTTTTATTTTAATTGCAAAAGGGTATTAAAGTTTATAAAACGATTTTATTAGCTTTTTTGGAATTTTAATTTTTGGTATTAGTAATGGGTATGGAACAAGTAGTTTAATGATAATAGGTCCAAGATATACTGAAGATAATTAAATAAAAGATTTAATTAATTATTTAATATTTTTTATGCTTACTTTTGGAAATTCGATTGGGTCAATTATATCTATTGGCTTAAGTTGAATTTTATAAAGTTTAAGTATATTATATTATTATATATATTAAAAAATATAAAAACTAAATAAATATATATATATAAAATATAAATATATAAATATTATTTTAATTTTAAAATATATATATATATATATGTATATTTATATATTTTTATATATATATATTTTTATGATTTTATTTAAATTATATTTTTTTATATATTTTTTATCACCTTCTATATTTATTTCTTTTAAAATTAAAATGCAATGTTAAAGCTTCCCTAGCGAAAAAACATTTAAATCCTTTTTTATCTGAATAATCCCACTCTCTATTTACTATTTTAAATGCAATATCCTTTTATAATTAAAATTAATAATAAAAATATATTTTTTTAAATATAATCAAATTAATAAATATATTAATAAAAAATACTTCATAAGGTGGTCCTGCAGTAAATTTAATAATACAATAAGCAGGATCTTCTGCTACTTCTAGAGAATATTCTGGCGTTTTATCTTTTTCTATAAGTTCTGGATAAAAAATATTAAATTTATACCCTTAAATATATTTAGGAGGTGTATTATCTGTATCAAAATGCATTTAATTATATTTGTTCCAATCGAATCCCCATTTAACTCTATTAAAAAATTTTGGTTTTTTTGATTTACATTAATCTTGCCAATCATAATTATTTTAAACTTAAAATTATTCATCAAAAGCTTCTTCTCCTTCTTCCATTGGTTTTTTTTTTTCAATTTCTAATAGTTTTTATGTAACTTGGTCCACTTCTTCTTTTTCAGTTTATTTTTCAATTACAAAATGAGAGTTTTTTACTTTTTTACTTTCGAGGGCATTTAGGGCTTTCTTATAAATTTTATTGAAAAATATTTCACGAATATCTTCTATTTTTTCGATTTAAATAGCTAATTTTTCCCTTTAATCACCAAAAGGAATTAGAATTGGAGAACAAGCGTGTTCGGGTAATATTACTACTTCATTTTCTTATGGTTTAAGTTCCTTAAATGCATTTTTAGAGTCACTATGGGATTATTCAGGTGAGAAAGAAGTTGTTTATGAAAAAAATTAATTATATAAGGCTTAAAATATTAAAGAGGCTTTATATAAAAGGAGTCTATCTTAAACATTTTACCAATAAAGTTAATCTGTTTTATCTAGAGAAGGATTTTTTAGTGTAGAGTTAATAGTTTTTTCTAATTCAGAAAGTTCTGGGAGTTTTTTATTTATAAAAATGGATTAAATTTCGTTTTAGAATTCTTCGAATTGTTTATGTTTTTCTTCCAAAAAAAAATAAGTTACATGCTACATATTAACCCAGAATTAATTTAAATTTTCTAGTTCGTTTTCGGCTGGAAAATCTTCCTCAAGCTAACAGTTTTTGGATAATTCATGAAGCTTCTGTAAAATAGTAGTCTCTTAGATTTTTATTTGAGATATAAGATCCATCATTAAGGGTTCTAAATGTGGATTAAAAGCTATTTTTTATTTATATATGTAATATATTTTAGATATTTTATCAACGAATTCTTCCTTGCCTTATGTTATTCTTACTAAAGCCCTTATTTTGGATTGAAATTTATGAAAAGATTCCTCTTTTTGCTTCCATTGCATATATGTTTCATATTCACGTTCTTTTATTTAGTTTTAGCGTTCTTCTTCTAATCTTTATTTATCTTATTACCTTTAGAGACGGTTTTGTTTAACTTTTTGGATGTCTTAAAATATTTCAGATTCGGTTTTAAGGTTTTAAGTTTTTTATTTAGATTTTCCCCAAAGGATTGTCTCATTAATGTTTCGGTCACCAAAAGGATTTTCTTCGTTAGTATAACCGAGTTCTTTTTAAATTATTTTTTATCGAATTTTGTAAGTTAATGATAACTCTTCAGCCTGCTTTATATCATTGGAATGAGAACGGGAACGAGATCGGGATTTATTGTGTCTTTTTTTAGACATTATATTGTATTTGTTTAATTTAATTTTATTATATAATATCTAATAAAAAATTTATATAAATTTTACAATATATATATATATATATATATATATATATATATATATATATATATATTTTTTTTCAATTTTTTTGTTTTTTTATAGCTATTAATTTTTTTATTTATCTTGAGAGTATAGATAATTAGTTTTCGAAATTTTCTTTTCTATAAATGATGAAAAAATAATATATAAATATATATATAATTATATAATATATATATATATATATATATATATATATATATATATATTACTTTTCTTTCATTACCAATGTATCAAATATTCTTCTATGTATAATTTTAAGATATTCTTAATGTTTTTATGCATGTTTTTATTTCAAATTTATTAAAAGAGCTTCAATATCTATTTCTTAATTTTTATCTTAAGATTAATTTTGATTTTATTTTTTTGCAATTTCTTCGTCTATTATATTTTTAATTCTTCCTAAATAAGAAATATTATTTTTTGGAATTTTATTTATACGAGGTGTTTTTTTTATAAATTATGGTACTTTTTTTATATTTTTATCTATAAAGTTTAGTTAATTATGTATTATAACTGGTGATTTTTATTTTATTTTAGACATTGTTTCTTTTCTTTTAAATTACCTATTAATATTAAATTACTTTATTTATTCATTTTAGGATTTCGATTAATTATAATTTAAATTTAATTTCGTATCTTTTAATTTACCAAATGTTAAATATTGATATTTATATCCATGTCCGCCTTTAAATATTTAATATTCGCCACTTAAATTTGCAATCTTATTATATTTAATTTTTTTTTTAAAAAAAAAATACTATTCTTGTTGTGTTTTTATTTATAAATGTAGATGCTGTTGGAGGTAAATTTGGTGGATATTTTGATTTGTATAAACCATTTTATTATTATTTTAAATTTACAGAATTTAATATTTTGTATATACATTCACTTTCATTATCGTTAATCATTTAAAGAATATATTAAATTTTATATTTAATAAATTTTATATAATTAATTTTATTTTTATTATATACTTTTTCATATATTTATTTATTAAAATTTAAAAAAAAAAAATTCATTATTATATATTTTCTAAATTAATAGTATGTATTTGTTTTTATATATTTAAAACAATAAAAGTTTTAATAAATAATTATAAACATAAATTGATTTTTTATTAAAAAACATGTAATTAGATTTAAAAATTTAAGCTGTTTTGTTTTACAGCTTTAACAAAAATCCTTAAAAAATAATAAATATAACAAAAAAGAAATGTATATAAAGAATTAATACTCCATCCTGATAACGAGCATTTAATTTATACTTTAGGTTTCACAATAATAGTTCGTCAAGTAGTTTCAAGAACCTAATCTTTTTTAATAGGACACGATAATTTAATTTAAGGGATAACAATATCTAAATCAGGAAATTAAATAGATTAAGGCAAAAAGAAATATATGGGATTTTAAGCAGTTGTAATAATATGGAATTTTAAATCTCTTAGTATAATACATAAATTGAAATTACATAAAGGTTTTTTAAAATATATAAATAAAAATATATAGATATAAATAAAATATAAATATATATATATAAATAGGAACATATCAAAATTTAAATTAATATATATTAAAAAAAATATCTATATATTAATATATAATATAATATTTTTTTATTAAATTTATTTATATAAATTTATATTTAATATAAAAATTTAAAAAAATATATATTAATATTTATATAAATATATACAATATATATATATATATATATATATATATATATATATATATATATCAATTTATATATTTTATATAATTTATTTATTTATTTATAGTGAATATTCGCATTAACAATATTACCAAATGGATATATATTAGTATGCGTAGGATATGTGACATTAGCTAAACTTTCAATTTAATAAATTATTATTCTTATTTAAGCGAATTTTTAGGAAGTATTACTTCTTTATCTTTTACATTAGATTACACACATTTTTTATTTGCGGAAGTGTTTATTCGAACATTTATTGAGTGAATTTATACAAATTAAGCCCTGAATTAAGAAATACATGCAATTATGATTAAATAAACTACAATGCTTTTCTTCTTAAATATTCTGATGTATTCGCTACTTGTTCTTAGACTGTTATTATAATTTGCTATTTTTAAAATAGATAATAATTATTTAGAATTTAGTGCCTAATTTTGAATTTCATTGTGTAGCGTTTATGTAAGATGGATAATCTATGATATCAGGTTGTAATGATGGATAAATAAGGTCGTTTTTGCCTTAATCTGTGAAATTAATGTATGTTATTTTAGATGCACATATACATGGAGTTACCGTTTTGTGTCCTTCTAGTGATTGCTAGAGAATTATTTCGTGAGGAAACGAAGGATAAGTCAGAGTTTGAAATATTGGAAAATAAACATAATCCATGGAGGCTTCTATGAAAGAACATAGGGGAATAGTTTGTTCAATTTAAATTAAAAAAAATAATGAATAAGCCGTTTCTGCAAGTGCAGATGGATCATGCATTATTTGGGATTTAGAAAGCTTTACTAGAGTTATGTGTTTGTTTGAATCGACTCTTTTTAAATAAGTCGTTTATCATCCAGAAGAGTCATAACTATTAACTACAGGTTCAAATAAGATAATTAGTTATTGGGTAATTTTCGATGAGTAAGCTATTAGAATGCTTGATGGGTCAGACGAAGGAGAAATTAATGCTCTTGCGATTACTAAGTAATTATTTTTTGTTAATTAATATTATTATTTTTTATATGTGATTTTTAGGAAAGGCAATTATTTTGTTTCAGGAGGAGAAAATAAAGTTGTTAAGTTATGGGGATATGATGAAGGGATTAATTATTATATTGGAATCTGATATTCCGGTGCTAATACAAGAGTATTTTTTTATTATTATTTTTATTTATTAGTTTGTTTTATTTTTTATATAAAGTTGTAAATTAGTTCTGATTAAAAAAAATTGATTTCTGTAGGAGCTGAATGTTCTATATTTATTTGTAAAATGCCAATAGATATCGTTTAGACAAGGGCCGATAATGAATTAACTACTATTTATAAAGAAAAAAATAGTGATTAAGGAAATTATTTAAAGTAACGTTTTGAAGTTTCTTCAAATAGAAATTGATTTTTTATATTATTTTTATTTATTATAATTTTTATTTTTCAAAATAGTAAAATAAAATAAAATTATTATTAATATATCTTTTTTTATTTAAAAAAAATAAAATTAAAAAAAAGATATAAATAATTTTTTATTTTTGTTAAAAAAAAAAATGCTAAATTTTATTGTCAATTTACATAAAATAAACAAATTTAATTTCGCATTTATAGCAAAATAGGCAAAATTTGCACGAAAAACGGAAAAACTTTTTATTGAAAAATAATATATTTTAACTGATTTAAATAGAGTCATATATAAAAAAATGTTTCAGCAACATTAATAATTTTCGAATATTTAAAATTTATTATCATAAGAAAATACAGTATATAATTTAGATAATCCTTAAAAACGAAAACATTTAATTTATTTATAAGTATTAAATGATTAATTCGAAAAATTTTAAAATACAATAATATAATTATAAGATTTGAAGGAAATATTAACAGATCCTAAATAAGATTCAGAAATGATTGCATTCGCAAATGAAGAAATATAAAATTAACAAACTATACTTGATGAAATTTAAGAAGAATGTATTCGTTTATTAATTCCCAAAGGAAAATTTGATGATTCAACAGAAATTCATTTAGAAATAAGACCAGGAACAGGAGGAAGCGAAAGTTCACTTTTTGCAGAAGAATTGTTTAAAATGTACTAAAACTTCTGTGCAATATCAGGATACTAATGTAAAACAGAGTCATTTTAAACAGATATGTCAATAAATAAAGGATGTAAACTAGGAATTTTAAAAATTGAAGGAGAAGAAATTTATAAAAGACTTTTAAATGAATCTGGTGTACACAAGTAAATAATATATATATATATATATATATATATATTATATATATATATATATATATTTATATTTTTTTTAAAATTAAAATATAGAGTTATTAGAATACCTGAAACTGAATCAAAAGGTAGACTTCATTCAAGTACTGTTTCTGTTGTGGTTATGCCTATAGCTCCTTTTGATTTTAAAGTAGATGAGAAATAATTAAAATTTGAATATATGAGGAGTTAAGGTGCAGGTGGATAACATGTAAATAAAGTTGAATCGGCATGTAGGTTTTATTAATATAAAAAAAATATTTTCATATATATATTATTACTTTTTATAATGATTTTTTTTATTTTATTTTTTAAAATATATCAATAATATATAAGCTAAAATTTATATTTCTTTTATGCATATATAAATAAATTACATCAAAAAAAACGTATAAAATTATTAATACAAATTTTATTTATATATATTTTAAACTAATTATTAATTTATTATGTTTTTTTTTTTTTTAAAGGGTGACACATATAGCTACTGGTGTTTCTGTTCTTTGTTAAGATGAAAGATATTAGGATAGAAATAAAGCTAGAGCGTTGAAACTTCTTTATGATAAACTTTATTTTTTAGAGGTGGAGAAATATAATGAAGAATAAAGCTTTAGGAGAAAAAGTTAAATGGGAGGAGGAGATAGAAGTGACAAAATTAGAACTTATAATTTTCCTTAAGATAGAATTACTGATCATAGAAGTAATTTAACTGTTTTTGGTATCGAGAAAATGATGGAAGGATAATTTTTAGATTAGTTTATTGATTAATATTAAGAAAAAGTGTAAAATGAAATGTTGGTTTAAATGATTAAATAATTAGAAATTGAAAAAGATGATTCTTGATATTTTTTATTTTATTTTTTTATATTTGTTTTATTTTTATCGAGAAATTTAATTTGAATTTTTAATTTATATATGTATATATATATATAGAGTATAAATTATAAAATATAGACTTTTTTCTCATATTAAAAATATAGACTATATTTAATTTTAACTATTTTTTATATATATATATATATATAAAAAAAAAATGTCATATTATTTAAAAGATTATAATATATATGATACTAATATAAAACAAATATCTGATAATTAAGATATCTATAAATTACAATCACCTACAAGTATAAATATAAATATAATGTTATTTTTTTTTATTAAAATATTAATTATAAAAAAAAAGATTCTCCCAAAAAAAAAATTGATATATAAAATTATTTTAAAGAATAGTTTGAAACGCCTAAATATGATAAAGATAAATAACTAAAAGTCGTTTCTTAGCCTTAATTAAATTCTATAAAAAAGGAAGATTTTGATAAAAACAAAGAAATTATCCATAAATTAGCTGAAAAATATTCATAAAATAAATACTGGAGCCAAATATAGATGTTAAACCCAAGTGATAAAGCTTTGAAAGTTTTAAGAGATTATGATCATAATTTAAAATTTAATTTGTAATCGAAAAATTAATAGAAATTATTACATAAGCCGACACAAAGTTTAGACTTTTTTTAAAAATTTACTGAATAAAATATAAAAATGAAGTAAAATAATTTATTTATGACATAGAATGATTAAAACGAGGAAACAAATAAATAAATAAGTGAATTATTTCCTAAAAAATTAAATATGAAAAAAAATTCAGAAATTATAAATAAATATGGAATTTTAAAAAATAAATACATAATATACAGCCAACCGAATGATACAAACGATGGGAAAATTCAAAAAAGTGTATCTTAGTATGAATAGTGTGATTTTTTGGATAATAATCCGAATAGAATTTAAGAAATAATTGAATAGATTAAAAAAAAAAAGAAGAACAGAAAAAAGATTTGGAAGCTTTAGGAAAAAATTTCGATTATTTTTAGAGTTTTTAAAATTAAGAAATACAAATATAAGATAGTCCTATATTGAAGTAGAAAAAAGCACTTTTTATAAATTAGAAAATTGATTATAGATAATAAAATCATTATAAAATGAAATAAAATTGGAATAACAAAGATTCATTTATTTCTAAAATTAAACATGTTACCTTTTCAAATAAAAATCAAATAAATATTAATTAAAATATAGATATAATAGATAAATATTATTAGGACGATTAAAAAAATTAATAAGTAAATATTATTTAAAACGAAGAAATTATTAATAAAAGCAAAGATCTTTTTTCTGAAAATAGTGGAGTTTATTTTAATAGAGATAAAGGGGTTACTTTTTCTAAACAAAATATAGAAGATTTTGACTAAAATAATATTATATAGACCCCCTGATATTTCTAGATTTATTAATAGTAATATTTAAGAAAAGGAAAAAATAATTTTGTGATGAAAATAAAATTAAAATGGATATATAAATTTATAAATATTTTTTGCTATAAATATAAACATATTTGATATTAAAATTAAAATTTAAATAATTTTTTTTGAACAAAAAAAAAAAAAAAAAAAAAAAATATTTTTTTTTTTTTTTTTTTATAAAAAATAACAAATAATAATTTCTTTTTATTAAAAAATAAAAAAATCACTCTTTTGGTTTTTTTTTCATTCTAAGTTAATTAGAGTGTCCGCATTTTCTTTTTCTACAATTAGTAGCTTTAGGAGGTAATCTGGCATAGCAATCTCTGCAAACTTTTTTTTCGCAGTTATATTTCTTTGCCAAGGCAGCAATGGTAGGCTCCATAGCACCTCCTCTTAATCTCAAAACTAAATGGAGAGTGGATTCTTTTTAAATATTGTAATCTGAAAGAGTTCTGCCATCTTCCAATTATTTTCCGGCAAATATAAGTCTTTATTAATCTGGAGGAATTCCTTCTTTGTCTTAAATTTTGGCTTTAACATTTTCAATTGAATCGGATGCCTCAACATCTAAAGTGATTGTTTTACCTGTTAATGTTTTGACGAAAATTTACATTTTTTTTAAATTTTTTTTTTTTATTATTTTTTTGTTTTTTGTTTTTTGTTTTATTTTTATTTCTTTATTAATTTAACTTTTTATTTTTTTACTTTTATTTAAGATATATAAAGTAATATATTATAATATTTATATAATTTTAAAAAATATTGATTTTAAGTAGTTTACTATATATATAAAATAAAAAAATCTGTTTATTTTTATTTAAATAAAAATGTAAGAAAAAAATAAAACAAAATATAAATTACCATTATTAGCTTTAACAGGTCTTAAAACAGACACAAAATTTTAATAAATAAAAAATTAATTATTACAAGATAAAACATTTAATTTAGAAATTAAAGAATTTGAAAGCGAAACAGATTATTACATAAATATTTAAAAATTGAAAAGATTAAACTAAACTTTTTTATAATAATATAAAATATAAAAATAAACAAATAAAAATAATAATAAAAATAAAAGCAATAATAATAATAATAATAATAATAATAATAATAATATAAATTTATATAAACATTCTTTTTTTTTTGTTTTAAATGAAAACTCTTCTTTTTTTTCAATAAATTAATATAATTAAATACAAAATTAATAGTCTGCCGAAAAATTAAAAAATTAGTAAAAATAATTAACAATTTTTAAACTACCACCTGTATTATATGAAAAATAATTCGATGTTAAATACATATATATGTAATTCTCAGCTAAAGGACCTTTATTTTCTTATAATGATGGTAAATATTTCCATATAAAAATTGAATTATATCCAAAATTACTTCCTTTATCTTATGAAAACTTTTTGAAAATAATTAATGGGTATATTATTAATACAGGAGAGTATATATGTTATAAAGGTGAAAAAATGATTAGACACAAAAAAGATGCATTTTTTTAATTTGGTTTAAAAAATCCTTTTTTATCTTGTTTTGGAAGTTTTTTTTAAGATGAATGCTTTTCAATATTACATAACAAACCAGGAGTAGTCGGATGGTGTAATTAGGGAGTACCGCATACTAATGGGAATTAATTTTATATTAGTTTGGGACAAATTAACGATTTTGATAAGAAAAATGTAGCTTTTGGAAGGGTTGTTGAGGGTTTTAAGCATTTATAAAAAATAAATAAAACACTAAAGGAATTTTATTTAGATATAAAAATAGAAAATTGTGGCGAAAATAATTTTTCTGAGGATATTAATGGGGATCATGATATATTTAAAGGGCCTAAAAAATGTGAAAAAAAGACTATTTTTTACAATATAATTCATAAAGAAGGATAAAAACATAAAGAGTTAGCTGAGGGGGAGTATTTTGGTTTAATGATTAGTTTGGAGTAAATTTGTAAGAGGATAAAAGGGTTAATTTAGGGCTATTTTTTGAGAAAAAAAAGGTGTTTTTTAGATCTAAAGAAAGACATAGAAAGCTGTTTTGGTAATTTTTTGTATAGGAACGTAGCTTTAATTTATAATATTGAAAAAGACGAAGTTTTAAGAATTTAATAAGGAAAATTTATACTTGCTTTTGTAGGTTTAGATGTTTAAAAAGAAGAAGATTTATCTAATTGTGGGTCTTTTTTTATTATTTATAGAAAAACGTCGACTTCATTTAAAAAAAGTATGAAAGAAGATGTACTTTAGCCTAAAGAAAATATTTTTGCGGCTGGTTATTTCGTTTTTGGGTTAAATACAGGGTTCGTATTTTATTCTGGGTTTAAATTAAATTGTTTTTATTATGATGAGGAATGCTAGGAGTTTTTAATTAGTCATGAAAATATTAAATCACCGAAATTTGGAGGTCTGGTAGTTTTTAATGGATTTTAGGGAGATCAAAATATTAATAAATTTATTTTAAATAAAAAAAAGAAAAATAATTATAAAGGATTGTATACTATATATATATATATATATATATATATATAATATTATTAATATACAAATAGGTATTTTTCTAGTAGAATTTATAATTTTCATTAAGTTTTATTTTTTGGAGGAATAGTTATTTATCCAAATAAAGAAATTAATATTTTCGAAGCGATTGCTTTTAGCTTTCTTATTGAAAAAAGTTGGAACAGATATAGTTCAGGGTTTGATAGTTAAATTTTAAATTAAAAACCTTAGGGATATTGTTAGAAAGTTCAATTACTTTATTTAGGTTATCATGAGGATGTTTAAGAATTAGATACTTTTTTTTTATCTATTAAAAGAAAAAGTGTATATTTGGAAAATAATTCTTTCATAAAATTAAAATCTAAAACTACATTAGCATATATAGATTGAAAAATTTACATATATATATATATATTTAATATAATTTTCTATATGTAATTTTCTTTTTTTTTTAAAAAAAAAAATTAAAAATATTTATATATTTTTATTGTACAATTTTTTTTATATTTTTTCATTCAAAATCTATTGCGTCAATAACAAAATTTGCAGTATCAATCAAAGCTAAAGGGAAAAGAAGTTAAATTTCAATATATAGGTCAAGAGAAATTCTTAGGAAAACATTGTTGTTCCATCCGTATGAGTGTATAAATAAAAACTGAATTATTTTATAAGAATGGACATATCCAAGTATTGTGAAAATAAAACTGAAAATTAAAATAAAATAAAAATCTTTTAAATGAAAAAGCATAAGGGTAGGACTTAAAACTAAATAAAAATAAGTTAAAAATTTGCAAGTTTCTTTAAATATAATTTAATAGCAATATCGATCAAAATATAAAGTAAAAAAACTAAATAAACTAATACTAAATATCCAATAACTTAAGTGTATATCATTCGGTAAAAAATTTAATATAAAATATATCAAATAAGCTTCGAAAAATATAAATATTAGAAAATTAATATTATTATAGTTATATTTATCTCTTATATAAGTCGCTTTTTTATATAACTACATTTTTGTATTATTAATCCGAACATAAATATGAATATATGCCAATATTCTCTTTAAAATTCCCATAGTTATGGTGTACAATGGATAAATATTTAAAATAGAATTAATGAAAATATTTTTTATAGAGATAATATATAAAATATTGTTGAATATTTTTTTATGCTTTATTAATTGCTTATTGTCGTTTAAAAAAATGCTTCATCCATTTAAGAAATATTTCTTTTAGTATTATTTTTATATTTATATATTTATTTTTTATTTCAAAATAAATAAAAAAATAATAAATATTTATCCTCTTATTTATTGTTTGATTTAAATATATAAATTTATTAAAAAAAAAATTTAAATTTTTATTTGTTTTATTTAATTTTTAATGTTTGTTGATTTTATAGAAATATTGTAAATTAATTTAAATTATTATAATAAATATAAATAATAAAATGAAAAGATAAAAATAAAAGAAAAGGAAATTTATAATATTTTTATAAATATACTAAAATAATATTATTTATTATATATTTATATTTGTTTATAATAATAAAATTATCATATTATTTTAGATTATGTATGAAATTCCATTTTTTTAATAAATATTTGAATTCTATAAAATTTTATTTAAATAATTAATAATTTAAATAATTAATAAATTAAATAATATGATGATATTTGTATATTTTAAAAAATATCTTTAATTTTATATTATTTTGAATTTATATTTTATTTTTTTTAAAAATACTATTTAAAAATCAAATTTATATAATCAAATAAATAATAAACTAAATAATAAAAAATTCTTAATTAAACAATTTATATATAAAATTTGAAATATGGTATTTAGTAATTTTTATGCTAAACTTAAAGAATACTATGAATTTTCTTTATGTTTTTCTATCCATAAATTCTCTCGACCATATTTACTATCTAAAATATTATTATATATAAAGTTTTTTTGGCATATTTAATTAACACTAAATAAAAGTATTCTAGAAGAAATTTAAAAAATAGATATTGAAATATAATTTATAAATAAATTGAGTATTTTAACATATATAGAAATAAAAAAAGGATTTTTTTTTTTTTCATTCATAATAAATATAATTATAATAGTATTACTTATGTATAATTTTATTAGGCATTATTAGTTATTTGGTACACAGGATTAATAAAAAATTTAATAAAAAACATATTTATTAAGTTTTTTGGTATAAATTTATAATTATGTATTTTATATTCCTTTTATTTATTATTCTATACAATTTTATGATATAATTTTCATTGCATAAGTAAACACAATATTGATTATTATTTTAAGTAATATTTTTATTATATTTTTTAAAATTATATAAATATATTAATTTAATTTTTTTATTTTTTTCAGGCGTATTTTTTACATTACATGATTAAGATTTTAGTATTAAAAATAAAGACTATTTGGGAAAAAGAAATTCTCATTTTAAAAATATTATTATTTTAGTAATAGAAATTATTCATATTTTTGTTTTTGTATATTTTTAGTAAAGTTAAATAGTGATTTATTTTAGTTTGATTACTAGTTTTTTAAATTTATATGAAGTTTTAAAAAATAAAAAATACAAAAGCGCTTGTATAAATAAAATTAGTTTATATTTAAATTTGATATTGCTTTATTTTGCTATTATGTTTATAATAAGTTGCATGGCAAAATTTTAATATTCTTTTTTTGTTTGCTTATTTTGTGTAATTCCTGCTATTTATGAAATATCAAGTTAAGTTAATAATTTTTAATATTAAAATATAGAAAAAATATATGAAAACATAATGGATACTGAAAAACAAGAAATAGACTTTGGTATTAGAATTATCTTAAATAATTTTAGTTTAGAATTTGAAGATTATAAAAGAAACTCCTTGTCAATTTTATTAGAAAAAATATCAACAAATCATATAATAGAATGTAAAGAATATCCTAATTGTTTTTGTAATAAGAAAGTATGTAAAAATATATTTTATAAAAAATTATTAAATATATAATACATGTATTTATGTATATATATAAATTTCAATATATTTATATATATACTAATATTTATATTTATATTTATATTTATATTTATATTTATATTT